GTGGGATGGAGCCTTGAGCTCTGGAGCCTTCCCCTCTCCCGAGATCCCCTGAGGCCCACCAACATGTGGCATCGGTGACTACCGGGCCACTTACCTTGGCCACATCCTGTGGGCTCTGACCCACGGAGCGGAAGAGCTCTGCGGAGGCTGGGAGGTAGAGGTCCCGGAAGAAGGCCAAAGTGTCAGGATCAGCCCCTGGAAACTCACTCGTAGAGATCTGAGCCAACAGCTTCCCCTCGAACTCTGTGATCACCGGGCCGGGCTCCACCAGGGAGACGCTGGGCAAGGGGCAGGGCTGGGGTGGGTCTGGTGTCCTAATCCAGGGCTCCTCCATTTTGCCCAGGACTGACCCCCTCCACTCCATCTATCTATCTATCTATCTATCTATCTATCTACCTATCTATCTATCTATCTATCTATCATCTATCTATCTATCTATCTATCTATCTATCTATCTATCTATCTATCTATCTATCTATCTATCTATCTATCTATCTTTCTGTGCTGGTCCTGGGGCTTGAACTCTGGGCCTGGGCGCTGTCCCTCAGCTCTTCAGTTCAAGGCGAGCACTCTACCACTTGAGCCACAGCGCCACTTTTAATTTTCTGGTGGTTAATTGGAAATAAGAGTTTCACAGACTTTCTGCCCGGGCTGGCTTTGAACCGTGATCCTCAGATCTCAGCCTCCTGCGTGGCTAGGATGACAGGTGTAAACCGCTGGCGCCCGGCTTCCGTATCTCTTTTATTTCCTGTCTGCTTTTCCTCCATCTCTTGCACTGCCTCTGTCTCCCCCATCCTCACTCTCTGTCCCTCTGCCGCTACTCACCAGTCCCCTTCCCCTTTCCCTCCTCCCATCTAACTCCTTGCCAGCTCTGCCCCAGTGTCTGACTCTTCTCACAAGATATTGAATTGAAGCAGTTGGATGGCGAGGCTCTCGAAGAATCCTTCCAGGGCAAACTTGGAGGCGGCGTAGACATCATTGAACATGACACCTGGGAGGGTTGGAGGGCAGAGGGCTGTGTGTGTGTGTGTGTGTGTGTGTGTGTGTGTGTGTTGGGCAGCCTGTGTGATGGGCTTTGTGGGTCCCTCAGTGATGGAGTGAGAATAGGGGGAATCTCATTAAGGGTCTTATTATTAGGTGTTGAATGAGTTTTGAAGATGAAGAAGGAGAAGCAGAGCTCTGGACTTTTTCCAGGCGGAAGGAGGATGGGAGTCTAGAAGGGTTCAAGGAGGGTAGTCTCACTCTTGGAAGCATGGATGGCAAGCAGGTGTCCGTGAGGGTAGGCCCATGACAGACATCACTAATCAACTGCTACTCTCTTTTTCTGCTCAGTCTAAGGATCCTCAATCTAGACTTCTCCAGGGTCTGGTGGGAGATCTTTGGCAAGAAGGAGTCTCAGAGGAAGGAGTGCTGATGGTTCTTTTGGGCTTGGGGAAGTGGTTGTGTCAGAAGTGGCGTTGATTCTGGGATGTGGATGGCATCAATGGCACACATGCCATTCGCCACCTATTCTTATGCCAGGGCAGGCCTAGTTAATCCATCCCAGAGCTTTTCTTTTTGAGCTGCAAGATCCCTCTCATCTTAGCTCTCCATCCATCCAACCAACCAACCAACCATCCATCCATCCATCCATCCATCCATCCATCCACCCATTCACCTATCCATTCATCCATCTATCATCCATCTACCTATTTACCTATCCCTTCATCCATCCATCCATCCATCCATCCATCCATCCATCCATCCATCCACTATTTACCTATCCCTTCATCCATCCATCCATCCATCCACCCATCCATCCATCATCTACCCATCTGTCTATTCACCCATCCATCTAGCCATCCACCCATCTATCTATTCATCCATCCATCCACCCATTCACCTATGCATTCATCCATCCATCCATCTATCCATTTACCCATCCACCCATCTGTCTATTCACCCATCCATCCATCTATCTATTTATCCACACACCCATTCATCCATCCATCCATCCATCCATCCACTTAGCTCTCTTAGGCTCCTTTGGAATAGGAGCTAAGCTCTTGGCCACCCTCTGGGGAGGGTCACTCTAAGGGTGGGAGTCCAGGGCTCACCTTGAAGTCCCATAACACTGCTGACCACCACGATGTGACCCCGTCTCCTCCTCTTCATGCTTGGAAGCACAGCTTTGACCAGACGGATGGCCCCAAAAAAGTTGGTGTCAAAGACGTTCTGCATGGTAGTTATGCTGAGCCCCTCCAGGGGGCCCACCAGCCCCACTCCTGCATTATTCACTGAGGAAGAAGTGTTGGGTGTTACCTTGAGGTCTCCCCATCAATCACCCCCACTCCACTTTGAGTCCAGGGCATCATGGGTGGATACATGCAGGCCCTTGAGAAGGTTGAAACACAGTTTAGGGTTTGTTTCAGGCAACTCTGGACCCCAGGTGGGTGGGAGAACTCTTGGAAACTAAATTTCCTGTAAGGCGTGAGCAATTCAACTCAGCCCCCAAATTGCACCGAAATGGTTTCATTACCCGTCTGCTTAGAGACCATGAGTTGTTGCTTCATAATAATTACTCCTCCAGGTGACTCATTAGAAGTAATTTTTCCCAACCACATATGGTTTTCCTCATATGTGGGAATGTCTAGTCCATTCCATGCCACCCCCCAAAACAAAACAAAACAAAATAAAACAAAACAAAACAGATCTCAGATGGCTCTTGGCACCTCCAGTGAACCAATGGGTGTTCCTGGCTCTTGAACAACTGGTCTACCTCTTTATTCAGGGTGAGAAGAAGCCAGAGGGCTGGTGTTCCCGCCTTGTCTGTTCTTGGTCCAGGGAAAGGGGAAACTCTCACCCAACACATCCACGTCCCCGCCTGGGATGTGACTGAGGCACTGGGCCACTGAGTCATCATTGCACACATCCAGCTGCGCCACCGTGAGAGTCTTCCCCAGAGCACTCCCAGCAGATGCCTCCAGGGCCTCCTTCTTTCCAAGGTCCCTCATGGTGGCTACCACTGGGGACAGAGATCAGAGACAGGACAGGGTCCATCCCCTGTGTGTTTCTATGATCTTATGTGAGCAGTGTAATTTTACACACCACATATTCAACAGATGCACACATTTATGCACACCCACATCCATCTATCTGCCCATCTATCCATCCACCAATGCATCTACACACTCATTCACCCATCCCTTCACCCATCTTTCCAACCACTCATCTATCCACCCATCCACCCACTCACCCATCTATCCAGCTAGTCACCCATCCATCCACCCATTCATCCATCCACTCTTCTACCCATCTAATGTCCATCCATCGCCTCATCCATCCATCTATCATCGATCCATCCACTCATTCATCCATTCATCCACTTATCCATCTACCTGCCCACTCATCCATCCATCCACCCACCTATCCACCTATCTGTTTTTATTCATCCATCTATCTGTCTATCCACAAACACTGGGTATCTCCTGCACACTGCACTTTATTCTAGATGCTGGGGCTAAATAAGATGCAGCATCTGCTTTTATGGAACTTTTAGCTTAATGAGAAAGACAACACAAACAAAGACTGTGAGCCTAGTGCTGGTGACTCACGCCTGCAATCCTGGCTGCTCAGGAGGCTGAGATCTAAGAATCTAGGATCAAAGCCAACCAGGGCAAGAAAGTCTGTGAGACCCTTTATTTCCAATGAATCAGCCAAAAGCTGTAAGTGGAACTGTGCTAGCCTTGAGGGGAGAAAAGCCCAGCACTCAAGCCCTGAGATCTAGCTCCAGGATGGGGACACATACACACACACACACACACACACACACACACACACACACACACACACACACGAAACAGAGGGCAGAGGGCTGGATGATACAGCTGTGCCAACTAGACTGAAGCCCTGAACCCCAGAGCTTCTGCCTTCCCCCCAGTCTCCTCTTGAGCAACAGCCCTTGCTGCCCTCCTTGGCAGTCTGCTATGGGTCAGAGGTTGCTTGTGCTGGGGCACACGTTGGAACCATGCGCTCCAGACCTATAGGAAGGGAAGTGCCAGAAGGAAAGAGCAGCTGCCTCTAAGCTCTAAGTCTGGGTGCTTGTAAGAGGTTTAGCTCAGTGCAGTAATCTGGGGAGGAACTTCACGGAGGTTCTTCTTTCTTGCCTGGGTCAACTCAAAGGAAGCTGGGCGGGCAGGAAAGTCTTCCTGGATCAGTTCTTTTTTTTTTTTTTTTTTTGGGTCTGGTTGTGGAGCCTGAACTCTTGGCCTGGGCGCTGTCCCTCAGCTCTTCAGCTCAAGGCTAGCGCTCTACCATTTTGAGCCACAGCGCCACTTCCGGCTTTTTTCGTTTTTGCTTATGTGGTGCTGAGGAATCGAACCCAGGGCCTCTGGCATGCAAGGCAAGCGCTCTACCACTGAGCCACCTTCCCAGCCCCTGGATCAGTTCTTTAAAACAACAACAATAACAAAACACTGCCGGGCTGGGAAGGTGGCTCAGTGGTAGGGTGCTTGCCTTGCATGCATGAAGCCTTGGGTTCGATTCCTCAGTACCACATACACAGAAAAAGCTGGAGGTGGCGCTGTGGCTCATGTGGTAGAGTGCTAGTCTTGAGCAAAAAGAAGCATTAGGGATGATACTCAGGTCCTGAGTTCAAGCCCCAGGACTGGCAAAAAACAAAACCAAAATCCTCTCATGCACCCAGCCAGCTAGCTCTCTTTTAGACACCCAGGGTCATGCCTAGCACCCAAGAAATAGGTCTTCAAGAAATATTGGTTAGACAAAGGCTGATCTATGAAGGACTTCCCACTGGATGTCCTGAGTCCTCTGGAAGGGACAGACAATGGAGAGGGGTTGGGGGGAGTCTTGAGGATTCAAGCCAACCCCTGCTGTGCTTAGGCCCCACCCTGGGCCCCTTACCTTGGTAACACTGCCTAGGATCATGAGCCAGCTGGACAGCGAGTTCCAGGCCGATTCCTGAAGAACATCCGGAGATCAGCACCGTCCGAGGGGAAGCGGCCATGTTGCCCGCTTGGACCCGTGACCTGACATGGAGGGGCACCTGCCCCAGCCCTCATCCACTGCTCCCCCCCCCCCCCCAGCTTGTCTGCAACTTTGCTTAAGCTATCTGCCTAATCTCCTGCTGGGAACAGGGCCAGGAGATCTTGCCTGGAGTTTCAGTCCAGTGTGAGGAATTAGGAGAACTTTTTTTTTTTCTTTTTCCTTTGCTTACTCTGAATGAAAGAAAAAAAATATCTCTAATTGGAGGAAAAGAATGAGAGAAAACCCCAGAGACTGTGGTCCCAGGCTGGGGCTTGTAGAACTGTCGGAAGAGTGCAGTTAAAGCATCAGAAGTTAGACTGTAGGAAGAACTTCCTAGCAAGGGCGTGCAGAGTAGGAACTTGGTGAGAATCTTTTAAACCGCATTTTGATGTAGTTTGAGATCCCTGGTGGAGGGGTCTAAAGGGGATAAGAATAGGCTGGTTTTTTTGGGGGGGGAACTCCCTCTTTTTCTCCCACTCCAGGGGCCCCCCAATCTCTTCCTCAGGCCAGATAGGGCCCCACCCCCTTTTCTCCAAGGACACAGAGACTCTTTGTCTATGGAGCCTGGGCTGGGACGGAGCTGCCAGTGTGTGTGTGTGTGTGGGGGGGGGTGTATTTGGGGCCAAGGATCCAGCCCTTTGGGTCCTCTTTGGTGGGAGGAGAGGCAGAGGAACGGGGGAGGGGGAGGAGAGAAAGGAGGTGCAGCCCAGTGGTTGTTGGGGGTTAGTGAGCCCTGGGTTCTAGTCCTAGCAAGGCAAGGAATCTGGAGGAGAGCAAAATCTAGATGTTTGGAGATGGCGAGTTCAGTGTACCAGAACCCCCAGATTCTGAGATCTGAGTACAGAGATGGAAATCTAGAGTGCGGATAAGGAAGCCAGCTTGGGGGTGATGGGGGTGGGCTAGGATGAGGATGCTCCCCTAATCCCAGGCCTCTGAACCTCAGATCTGCGAGGAGCCTGTGTGTGTGGGGGGGGGGCTAAGGCTGGAACCTCCAATTCTCAGGCGGACTAGGAGCGGCCCTTCCCCGCGGTGGGTGGGTGGGGCACCTCCCCGCTTCCAGCCCAGGCTCCAGCCAGCCAATCAGCGCACGGGACACACTCCCCTCCCCCAGGTCCGCCCCCGTCCCGCGCTCCCTCCCCCCCCAGCTCCTCCCCACGGGGCGCCGGGGGCGCAGGGTGCGGCCTGGGGCGCGGGCTCCGCCAGTCCTGCGGCTGCGCTGCTGTCCGGCCGGGCTGCCCCGAGTCTCTGCCCCGCTGAGTCCCCGGTCCCCGGTCCGGGTCCCCGCCAGGCGCTGGGGATGGACGGCCGCCGGGGCCTGGGCCTCTGCTCGCTGCTGGCCGCGCTGCAGCTGCTGCCCTGGACGCGGGCCGGTGAGCTTGGAGGGGAGGGTATGGGCTTTGGGGTGCGGATGAGGGGGACACACGGGGGTGCAGGCGAGCACGATGTCCACCTCTGGCTGATTTGTGGGGGTGTGGGAGGGAGGGGGACCCGGGAAACGTGCGTGCGGTGTGGACAGAGGGGTGCGTGGGGAATGGGGGCAGTGCCGGGCGCTGTGGTGCACGCCTGCCATCCCGGCCACTCGGGAGGCTGAGGTCTGAGGACAGCCGGTGGATGCCAGACTCATCTCCAATGAAAAAAGCCAGAAGTGGAGCTGTGGCTCAAGGAGTAGAGTGCTAGCCCCACCGAGCCAAAGCGAAAGAAAACAAACAAACAGAACCGGCCAGGAGCCAGGCACCTGGGGGCTCACCCTGTCAGCCTAGTCACTCAGGAGGCTGGGATTTGAGGATTGTGGTTCGAAGCCAGCCCTGGACAGGAAAGTCCGTGAGGCTCTTATCTCCAATGAACCGCAAAGAGCTGGAAATGGAGCTGTGGCCCAAATGGTAGGGCGCTAGCCTTGGGAAGAAGAAATTCAGAAATAGTGCCCAGGCCCTGAGTTCAAGTCCCAGGACAGGCACAAAAGGAAGGAAGGAAGGAAGGAAGGAGGGAAAGAGGGAGGGAAGGAAGGAGGGAAGGAGGGAGAGAAGGAAGGAGGGAAGGAAGGAAGAAGGGAGGAAAGGAAGGAGGGAAGGAGGGAGGGATGGAAGGAAGGAAGGAGGGAGGGATGGAAGGAAGGAAGGAGGGAGAGAAGGATGGAAGGAAGGAGAGAAGGAAGGAAGGAGGGAAGGGAGGAAGGAAGGAAAGAAGGAAAGAAGGAGGGAGGAAGGAAGGAGGGAAGGAGGGAGGGAAGGAAGGAAGGAAGGAAGGAAGGAAGGAAATGGAGGCAGTTTGTAAGTGTATGCTGCTGTGTGCAGCCTTGGACATGCTGATTGTTTGGGTGTTGTGAGAGATGAGCATCCTGGCTCTGACCAGTGTGTGTGTGTGTGTTACAGGTGTGTGTGCGCGGGTGTTACGCGTGTGAGTGTGTGGCCGCGCTCTGGCTGGGTTTGGGGGGCTGTGTTAGAAGCCAATCTCTCTGACTCTGAAGTCGGGGGCCGGTGTCTGTGTGGAGCAATGCAGGGATCCCCTAGAGCATGGTTTCACCCCATCCTTCCTCTGCCCCAGAGTGGGGCCCGCGCCCCCTCCTTTCCTCCCAGCCCTCCTCCCCCGTCTCCCCCCCCCCTTCCTCCGCGGTCCCCAGAGCCAGCGCGGTCAGCACCATGGACAGGGCCGCGGGGCGCGGGGCGGGGCGGGGCGGGGCGGGGCGGGGCGGGGCGGGGCGGGGCGCGGGGCCCGGGCCGCGGGCGTGGACGCGGGGCCCCCACCCCAGCCGGCCTGTTTTTCCCCCGAAGAATTTCTCAGGGCACCGTCTTCACCTCCCCCCGCCCCTCCCCTCTCCCCGCCCCTCACCAGAGTCCCAGGGCGGGGGTGGGGTGGGGGTGGGAGGGAGGAGGGGGGACCGCAGGCCGGCGTGAGTCAGAGCTGACGCACGCCCAGCTGTGCACATCTGGCTGGGCGCCCGTCAGGGCTTGGATGGGGGGTGGGGGTGGGGGTGGGGGGGTAGAGGATGAGGGGGGAGGGGGGAGTCCCTCAGGGTGAAGAGGCCTCTGTGGCTCTTGAAATTGGTGGAACGGATGATCAGAGATTCCCCCCTCATCTAGAAAGATCCTCAGGGTGGGATCTGCCAGCAGTTAAGGCACACACACACTCACGTGTACGCGCACACACGTATGTGCACTGTACCACACTGCCCCAAATTTCTGTCCAGTCCTGCGGGGTGCCTGCCCCTTTCCCATGCTCACACACCCACGTGCTCCTGCCGGCATGACTGTAAGACTCCAGGGACTGCCAGGAAATGTGGGACACCATGGCCACACCCTGGGCCCCCCTATACACAACCCCAGCCCGGCCTCCCGCCAGGCCCTGTCACCCTCCTACGCTTCCAGATTCACACACACGCGTGCACACACGCACGCACACACACACACACAGAAACAGCATTCCCACCAATCACCTACTGGCTGCCTCGGCTGCATTCTCTCACCCATCCTCATAACCAGTCCCAGCTTTTACCACCCCGCAGGGCCTGACCATCTCCGCTCACACCAACACCCGGCCACATGCCGAACAGCCTCACCAACACACACCACCAGAGACCAACCAACTGTTTGCACACATGCTGTCTCCCCCACTCCCTCCAAGCATCCAGACACCCACACTGGGACAATCTCACACACACCCTCGTGGATTTGTCCACACCACCTCTCCTCTCTGACCATCGTGAAGGCGGGGGACCCCAGCCTCATTCCTGTCTGCTCCCCGCTTTGTCACCCTTTGTGTCTTAGACCCCACCCACCCAGCATCTCCCTAGGGCTTTGGCCAGCACAGGAAGAGGGTGCTTGTGTGTGGGGTGGGTGGGTGGGTAGGGAATGGGGAGCGAGGTCCTTGGCAGACCCCCCCCCAACCTTCCGACCCTGCAGGCGGGACTCAATGCCTCTAGTGTGTCTCCTTGCCCCTCAGCCAGCCATGGAAAGAAAGGCCAGTCAGTTTCCCAAAGGTCATTACACAAGGGACGGCAGACAGCAGCAGGAGCTCTTTGGGTTAGATGCCAGGAAGGACTTTTGTAATGGGAATGAACCATGGCCCCCGGGGAGACCCCTTTCCACTGTAAAGAGGCTGGGGTGGGGCAGGGTGAGGTGTAGGGAGCTCTAAGCCTCCCCCCCCCAGGTGGGGCAGTTGGGTTGATTTTTCTGCTCCCCTCACCCCCCAGGGGAACTGACCCTTGTGGTATGGAGAGCCTGGGAGTCCAGATCTTTAGCCCTAGAGGCCTGTAACCCAAATACTTTGCACATAGCTCGGCCACTGAGCAGGCAATTAAAGATGGGGGTGGGGCACACAGAGATGGAGACAGTTAAACACGGATAGAGAAACCGGACGCTGGTGGCTCACGCCTGTAATCCCAGCTACTCAGGAGGCTGAGATCTAAAGATCATGGTTTGAAGCCAGCCCTGGGCAGAAAAGTATGCGAGATTTCTTGCTTCCACCCAGAAGCTGGAAGTAGAGCTAGAGATCAAGTGGTAGAGCGTTAGCCTTGAGCTCAAAAGCTCAGGGGCAGAACCCAGGCCCTGAGTTCAAGCCCTAGAGAGTCAGAAATGGAAGGAGTAATCAAATCCGGATACACAGACAGAGGAAGGGAATGAGACTGATTTATTGATGGATTCAGGGCTGAGTGCAGAGAACTGAAAAATGGGAATAGAAAATGGGACAGATGCTGGGAATGTGGCTTAGTGGTAGAGCGTTTGCCTTGCATGCATGAGGCCCTGGGTTCGATTCCTCAGCACCATATACACAGAAAAAGCTGGAAGTGGCACTGTGGCTCAAGTGGTAGAGCGCCAGCCTTGAGCCAAAGAAGCTCAGGACCAATGCTCAGGCCCTGAGTTCAAGCCCAGGACTGGCACAACAAATAAATAAATAAATAAATAAATAAATATTTTCTTTTAAAAGAGAAAATAAAAAGTGAATGGGACCAGGATGGACTGGGTATGATGGCCCCTGCCTATAATCCCAGCAATGTGGGAGGCAGAGATTGGAAGCACTGAACTTCCAGGGCTTTGGGAATGCAAAGTGAGTGAGACCTCATCTCAATCAATAAACCGAGTGTGGATGGTTCTCACTTGCAATCCCTCCTCCACAGGGAGGTGTAGGCAGGAGGATCCTAATCTGAGGCTGGCCCTGGGGCGAAAACTTGGGAGGCCCTACCTGTAACATACCAGAAGACAGAAAGGGGGCTGGGTGGGTGAGGCTCAAGTGTGGTGTACCTGCTTAACAAGGGACATTGGAGGGGGGGGAGGGGGAGAGGAGAGGGAGGGGAGGAGGGGAGGGGGAGGGGGAGGGGGGAGGGGAAGGGGAGGGGGAGAGAAAGTAGGGGCAGGAGAGATCAGGGACTGGAGCTGGGGGTGGGTGGTCTGTGGAGTTTGGAATCCGACATTCTGTCTCAGAAAGAGCTAGGATGGGGGGGTCTTCATCTAAGCCTTTACCTCCCCCGAATCTGGCCCCCCAGTTCCACTTCCCAGCCATGAGATCAGCAGAGCCATCCCCCCCCCCCCCACAGGGGAAGGGTGAGATCATGGCAGATTGGGCCCAATCTAGCTTCTGGCCAAGAGGCTGGGTCAGCGGGTTAGTGGGGCAGTCGGCTGAGGGTGGGGGAGGGGCCAGGCAGAGGCTGGGGCCTGGAGGAGGTGGGGGGACCCCAGGGAAGCCCCCACAGGTCCTGCCCAAGCCATGTGTTTCCACTTAACATTAGCCATGGCTGCCCGGGGTGGGGCACATCAGTGTCTTCTTTTTCTAGGTTGAGAGAGGGAGAGGGTTGGGGGGAGGGTGGAAAGGAGGTGACCCTGAGTCGTAGGTCAAGAGAGAAGAGAGAGGAGAGAAAGAGAGAGCGAGAGCTATTTACTGTAGCTATTCGCAGCTCAGAGTGACAGAGGCCAAAGGAAGAGGTCACAGGAAGGAATGAGAGAGAAACAGGGAGAAAGAAATCAGAGGGCTAGATAAGACTGCGGCAGGCATCAACAAAGAAGTTAGCATCTAGGATGGGCAGGGTGGCAGCCACCTGTAATCTCAGCCACTCAGGCAGCAGAGACAGCAGGACCTTTGAGTTCAATGCCAGCCTGAGCAAAGTTAGTGAGACACCCTCCCTCTTCGTCGCAAAACCCAAATCAAACTCAAAACAGTAGAAGTCAGGCACTGGTGGCTCATGCCTATAATCCCAGCTACTCAGGAAGGCTGAGATCTGAAGATCACAGCTCAAAGCTAGCCTGGGCCAGGAAGTCCATGAAACTCTTTTGTTGTTGTTGTTGTTGTTGATGGGACTTGAACTCTGGGCCTGGACGCTGTCCCTCAGCTCTTCAGCTCAAGGCGAGCGCTCTTCCACTTGAGCCACAGCGCCACTTCTGATTTTCTGGTGGTTCATTTGAGATAAGAGTCTCATGGGCTTTCCTGCCCGGGCTGGCTTTGAACCGTGACCCTCAGATCCCAGCCTCCTGAGTAGCTAGGATGACAGGTGGGAGCCACCGGCGCCCGGCTCCATGACACTCTTATCTCCAACGAACCACCAAAAAAAGCTGGAAGTGGTGCTGTGGCTCTAAGTGGTAGAGCTGATCAGCCTTGAGCTCAAAAACTCAGAGACAGGAGCTGGGAAGGTGGCTCAAGTGGTAGAGCGCTTGCCTCGGATGCATGAGGCCCAGGGTTCGATTCCTCAGTACCACATAAGTGAAAAAGCTGGAAGTGGCGCTGTGGCTCAAGTGGTAGAGCGCTCGCCTTGAGCTGAAGAGCTGAGGGACAGCACCCAGGCCCCGAGTTCAAGCCCCTAGGATGGGTGTGAAAACCCAAAACAAACACAGAGCCAAAATCAAAGGGGTAGAGATCTAAAGGAAAAGTGAGGGAAGACAGTGCTCCGGGTATGGAGGTCCGCGGGGTGGAGGAAGGGGGTCCAAGGCTCTTCAGAAAAACTGGAGGTCAGAGGAGGAGACCGGAGGGGGAGGGGTGAGCACATACCAGTCTCCCTCCCACCCCCACCTTCCCTCCCCACCCCCACGGGTTTCCCCTGGCAAGGGGGCTCCAGACCAGCCCGTGCGGGGGAGTAGAAATAGGGGACAGTTTGGCTCTGGGGCTCAAGCCAGGAAGTTTTGATTCATTCTAGAACTAGGTCAGCTTTTTTTCTTTTTTTTCCCTCACCAAAAAGCAAGGGAAAAAAATAAATAAGAGGAATCAACAGATGAATGCGGCCCAAAACATCTGTGGGGCCATGCATGGGGGGCGGGTGGGGGGGGCGGCAGAGAGATATGTTTTTAGTCCTGGGCCTATCTGCTTTGTGTGTGTGTGTGTGTGTGTGTGTGTGTGTGTGTGTGTGTGTGTGCGTGTGTCCTGGGGCTTGACCTCAAGGTCCAGGTGCTGTCCCTGAACTTTTTTTCTTTTTGGTCAGTTGTGGGGCTTGAACTCTGGGCCTGGGCGCTGTCCCTCAGCTCTTCAGCTCAAGGCGAGCACTCTACCACTTGAGCCACAGCGCCGCTTCTGGTTTTCTGAGTGGTTTATTGGAGATAAGAGTCTCACGGGGCTGGGAAGGTGGCTCAGTGGTAGAGTGCTTGCCTTGCATGCATGAGGCCCTGGGTTGGATTCCTCAGCACCACATAAGCAAAAAGAAAAAAGCCGGAAGTGGCGCTGTGGCTCAAGTGGTAGAGCACTAGCCTTGAGCTGAAGAGCTGAGGGACAGCGCCCAGGCCCAGAGTTCAGGCCCCATCACCGGACCAAAAAAAAAAAAAAAAAAAGGGTCTCACAGACTTTTGTGCCCGGGCTGGCTTTGGACCATGATCCTCAGATCTCAGCCTCCTGAGTAGCTAGGATGACAGGTGTGAGCCACTGGCGTCTGGCTGTCCCTGAACTTTTGTATTCAAGGCTGGAGCTTTGCCATTTGAGCCATAGTTCTGCTTCTGTCTTTTTGATGGCTCACTGGAGAGAAGAGTCTTATAGCCTTTCCTGCCTGGGCTGGCTTTGAACCGTGATCCTCACATCTCAGCCTCCTGAGTAGCTGGGATTACAGGCGTGAGCACCAGCACGAGCCCTCACTGCTTCTTCCCAACTCATAACCCTAGGGTCCTGGGCTGGTTCTAACTGCCCGATCCCACCCTGGTTTTCTCTCTACAGCGGAGCCCGTGGATGTCTTGGAGGTTCTAGGTGTGCGAGGGGGCCAGGCTGGTGTCCCTGAAAGGCCTGGCCTGTGTCCCCACAGAGTTCCAGAGGGTGACCGGGCATTCCGAGTGGGCAAGGCCAGCGTGCTCAGTGTCCCCACCCTGGAGCTCTTCCCCGGTGAGTGAGAGCAGGAGGGGGGACTGGAAGTCATGGCTGGAGAGACGCATGTCACTGGGGGGGGAGGGGGCTGCTGACCTGTCTCTCCCCTCCCCCAACACACCCCTTTCCTCTCCTTCCACTCAGACGGGCGATTTCCTGAGAACTTCTCTGTGCTGGCCACTCTGCGTGCCCGGTCAGCGGGGCGCTCCATTCTGCTGTCTATTTATGATGAAAAGGGCGCCAGGCAGCTGGGGCTGGCGCTGGGGCCAGGCCTGGGCATCGTAGGGGCCTCCTGGCGTCCCCTCCCTCCACCTGTCAACCTCACAGATGGCAGGTGAGAATATTGAGGGAGGGGGCCCCCAAGTTGCCGCCGGGTGAGACACCCCAGCACTGAGACCGCTCTCCCTTCTCCCGCCCTGGTAGGTGGCACCGCGTGGCGCTCAGCGTGGACGGCGACGTGGCCATGCTGGTCACTGACTGTGAACGCCAGCCGTCTGTCTCGGGGAGAGGACCTGGGGTCATCAGTACGGCTGGACACATTGTGTTGGGGACCCAGGAGTTTCAGGAAGAGAGTTTTGAGGTAGGGAGTTGAGAGAGGAAGGAAGCTGAGGCAGAGGGTGGCTTTGAATTTTTTTTGTTGTTGTGGGGCTTGAACTCTGGGCCTGGGCGCTGTCCCTGAACTGCTTCCGCTCAAGGCGAGCGCTCTACCACTTGAGCCACAGCGCCACTTCTGGATTTTTTTCTGTGATTAATTGGAGATGAGAGTCTCACGGAGGTTCCTGCCCGGGCTGGCTTTGAACCGCGATCCTCAGATCTCAGCCTCTTTAAGTAGCTGGGATGACAGGTGTGAGCCACCAGAGCCCTGCTCAGTCTAGTACTGCACCCCACCTATCAGGAAGGGGTGGTGACCTTTGTCACCCTCAGAAGCTCAGAGAAGGAAAGATTGTATTCGTGTCACGCATACTTCGTACCCAGAGGTCCCAGCCAACATCTGTCCTGCGTAGATGCATTTTTCCCTGACCCTCAGGCCCCGGGCTGAGCAAAGCCCCCGTCCCAGACAGGCCTCTAGATATGGAGGATCGCGGTTCAAAGCCAGCCAGGGTGAGAAAGTCTATCTCCAGAGAACCACCAGAAAGCCGGAGGTGGCGCTGTGGCTCAAGTGGTAAAACACTAGGCTTGAAGGAAAGAGCACAGGAACAGTGCGTAGGCTCTGAGTTCAAGACCCAGGACTGACACACACACACACACACACACACACACACACACACACACGCACGCACGCACGCACGCACTTGGGGTGCCCAGAGGAGTACCTGGGGTGAGCCTGTAACTTTCCCCTGTCCCCATCCTCTCTCAAGGGGGACATCCAGGAACTTGTGATAATCCCAGACCCCCAGGCCGCCTTCCAGGCCTGCGAGCAGTACCTCCCCGGCTGCGAACCCGCGGATCCCACAACCACAGGGGTGAGTGTGTGTGTGTGTGTGTGTGTGTGTGTGTGAGTGTGAGCTACGGCCCTACCCGCCCTGAGTCACCCTGCCTCCAACTCTCAGGAATGAGAATTCTGCACTAGTGGATGGATCCCACGGGATCCCAGGTGACCATCTTTCCTGGGGGAGGGCGGGGTGCACCAGGCCTGACCATGATCCTCTTTCCAGACCCCCCAGGAAGAGTCAGGGACCCCAACCCCTCCTCCTCGACGCAAGGGGAAAGGGAAAGGGAAAGGGAAGAAGAAAGGGCGTGGTCGCAAAGGGAAGGGCAGGAAGAAGAACAAGGAATCCTTGGCCCCAAGTTCGACCCCCGCTGGCACCCTGGAGAACCAGGTAAGCCCACCTGTGACCCTTCACCTCCGTGGATCCCCGGCTCCTCCGTCCAACCTTGCTCCTCCAATCTTTGGTTGCTCTCAGATGGTGACTGCACACCAAGGAGTACCCCATCTCCACCCCACAACCCAGAAGGGATGCGCCCCTGTTTATGCTAACTACAAGGGAGGAAGAGATGGGAGAATCGTGGGTGGCGGGCGTGGCTCAGGTGGTAGAGAGCCTGCCAGTAAAAAAAAGCGTCAGATACCCAAGTTCAAGTCCCAATTGTAGACCAACCAAAACCTCTCCACCAGTCACGGACTAGGCTCACCCCAAACACACAGATGCTACCTGGAAGACTAGTTAAAGCAAAAGAGGGCTGGGGGCGTGGCTCGAGTGGTGAAATTGCCTGCCTAGCAAGCACTAAGCCTTTAGCTCAAACTCCAGTGCAGCCTCTCTCAAAACAGCTAGGCGTACCCAGGTGCAGGTGGCTCACGCCTGTCATCCTAGCTACTCAGGAGGCTGAGATCTGAGGATCAGGGTGGTTCAAAGCCAGCCCAGACAGGAAAGTCCATGAGACTCTTATCTCCAGTGAACCACCAAAAAGCCAAAAGTGAAGCTGTGGCTCAGGCAACAGAGCTCTAGCCTTGAGTAAAAAGAAGGTCAGGACAGCACACCCAAGCCCTGAGTTCAAGCCCTAGGATTGATACGCGCACGCGTGTACACACACACACACACACACACACACACACACACACGAGTTGGAGCATGATTTGGGATCAGTGAAGGGTGTTCATTGTTGGAGGAATAATTGTTTTAGGGGGTCACTAAGGTGGGTGTTGCTTGTTGGGGGTCGCAGATTGAGAAGGTCTCTGGGTGGCTGAGCCGTTGATGGAGATTATAAATGGGGATGGGGTACCCTTGGATCACTGCTGTAGCAAGGGGATCTGGTCATTGGCTTGAGGGGTCACTGGTTGTCCCACAACTCAATCCCAGATCTTTCTGTCCCACAACGCAGACACCAGGAGTGCTTCACTCCAGAACCTTCTGCAGCTCCACACCCGCCTCCTAGGTCTCCTTGCCCCTCCCCCTCACTTCCTTCCACCCAGATCACTTTTGCAGCTGTCCAGGCCGGAAGGTGCTGACCGTGTTTGCGGCCTGGCTGGCTGGCTGCTGAGCTCTGCCCTGGGAGACGCTGGGGCGGGGGGGGGGGGGTGGGGGGGGTGGGTGGGGGGGGTGCTAGGCTGCCAGAAGTCTGACTCTGAGCACTGACCTTGGCCTTGATCTCTGGGCTGTGGAGTTAGCTGGGCTCTGCTCCCTGGCCCCGCCCTGCTCTTCACCCATGCAGCCTGGCTGGCCACCAGGGGAAGCCACGTTTCTGGTTTTTGGTTTTGTCCGTCATGGGGCTTGAACTCAGGGCCTGGACACTCTCTCTGAGCTTTTTCCGCTCAAGGCGAGTGCTCTACCACTTTGAGCCACAGCGCCCCTTCTGGTTTCCTGGAGGTTTGTTGGAGATGAGAGTCTCACAGACTTTCCTGCCTCGGCTGGCTTTGAACCATGATCCTCAGATCTCAGCCTCCTGAATAGCTGGGATTACAGGCGTGAGCCACTGATGCCTGGTTCTCCCTCCGTATTGAATCAACCTGACCCCAGATTCCTGATACTCATCCACTCCAGACCTCCGCTGCTGTCCCCAACACGGAGACACCAATGCCAGCTCTGTCCCCAACTGCCCCACCTGCGGTTGTCACCACTACTGTGACCATTGGCCACAATGTCACCATCTTCCAGGTCAGTGGCAGGTGGATGGTTCTGGAAAGGGGAGATCCTGGAGGGTGTGTGTGGCCTGCAGTCAAAGATCAGGTGCAAACCAGGCCTGTCCCTTTGTCCTCGGGGGAGAAGGACCCTGGCAGTGGAATTGAACTGAGAATCCCTGAGGTTGACCCGGCCGAGGAGGATGAAGCAGGAGGCCGCCCAACTGTAGGTCCTGAATTCCGAGCAGCAGAACAGCCATCTAGAACTGAGTTCCAGATCTTTCCTGTAAGTCCAGTGGGGGGGGGGGAGGGAGCTACTCTGCAGGTGGACAGCAGAGGAAGGTAGCGAGGGCAGCAAAGAAACCTGTAGAATAAACAAGAAAAAGTTGGGGCCAGGCACCGGTGGCTCACGCCTGTCATCCCAGCTGCTCAGGAGACTGAGATCTGAGGATCACAGTCCAAAGCCAGCCCGGGCAGGGAGGTCCGTGAGACTCTTATCTCCAATGAACCACCAGAAAACGGGAAGTGGCGCTGTAGCTCAAGTGGTAGAGTGCTCGCCAGCTGAAGAGCCGAGGGACAGCGCCCAGGCCCAGAGTTCAAGCCCCCCGACCACCACCACCACCAACAAGAGTTAGTGGCATCCCATCTCCACAGACAAGCTGGTTGGGATGCCAGGTGCCGATGGCCCCAGAGAGGTAGGGCATAGAGGTGGCAGGTCCCAATTTGAGGCTAGCCCAGAGCACGCCCTGAATAGACTTGCCAAGCTGGAATTCAGGGGAGGTGCTGAAAGCTGGGGAGTAAGGCTTAGAACTCAGCAGAGAAGAGGGAGGATATTTTTATCCAGCGCACCAGAGGAAATGACATCTCTAGCTTTGGTGTGTGCCAGTGCCTGCGTGCCTATCCAGTACCGAGCATCGTTTTAACTCCTTCATCCTCACTGGGGACGTAGACCATTACCATTCACTCAATCCCCAAAACAGATGACCTATGACCTGCAACTGGCCATAGGCTTTGACTAATTTCCCCAAATCACTGAGCTGGTATGAGGCAGAGCCAGGAGGGCCCTCAGGAGATCAGACCCTTGACCTGGAGGTAGCCCTGCCTGATTGGTGGAGGAGACTGAGCTTCTTGGCTAGAGAATGGATGGGATACAGATGGAGAGGGTGAGGCCCTTTGCCTTGAATAGCACTGCCTGATTGGTGGAGGAGAGACTGAGCTCAATGCTTATTGGCTAAAGAATGGATGGGACCCAATGGAGTGGGTGGGCCCCTCACTGTGATACAGTACTGCCTGATTGGTGGAGGAGAGACTGAGCTCAATGCTTATTGGCTAAAGAATGGATGGGATGCATGAATGTGGCTTAGTGGTAGAGTGCTTGCCTAGCACACACGAATCCCCCGGTTCAATTTCTAAGTACCACATAAAAAGAAAAAAGCCTGAAGTGGTGGTGTGGCTCAAGTGGTAGAAACGAAGCTCAGAGACAGTGCCCAGGTTCTGAGTTCAAGTCCCAGGACTGGCAAAAAAAAAAAAAAAAAAAAAGAATGGATAGGATGCAGATGGACAGGGTGGGGCCTTTTGCCTTGAGATAGCACTTCCTGATTGGTGGAGGACAGAGAGCTCGATGCTTATTGGCTAAAGAAAGGATGGATGCAGATGGAGCGGGAGAGCGCGTCACTGTGATACAGTACTACCTGATTGGTGGAGGAGACTGAGCCTGATGCCTATTGGCTGACAAAAGGATGGGATGTAGATGGGAGAGGGTGGGGCCCTTCACGATATAGCACTGCCTGATTGGTGGAGGAGTCTGAGCTTGATGCCTATTGGCTGAAGAAAGGAGGGGATGCAGATGGAGAGGGTGGGTGCTGTGTGTGGAAGCGTGGGCATGGCTCACATCTCTTTTCTCCCCACTCCTGTCCCCAGGGCACTGGAGAGAAGGGAGAAAAAGGAGAGCCGGCTGTGGTGGAGCAGGTGAGGGGCGGAGTCTGCGCCGGGGCCGAGGGGCTCTCTTGGACAGCGGTCATGCCTATTTCTGTCTCTAGGGTCAGCAATTTGAAGGACCTCCGGGATCCCCAGGACCACGAGTAAGTAATGACCATGTTCCCCTCCTTCCTCCTCTGGTTGGAGACAGTCTTCCTCTGTGGCCCAGGTTGGCCTGGAACTTATGACCCTGCTACCTCGGCCTCCTGAGTGCTGGGATTACAGGCATGCAACACTATACCTGGCTCTTTCCTGTCTGAGTGAGGAGTGGAGTAGTTAAGCCTTTGGGGAATTGGGGTGCAATGTTGCCTGGATATTTGATGTCCAAAGGATGAATGAAAATAAGGGTTGAGGCATGGGGTTCAGTGTATACTAAGGGTTCAGTAGGCCTTGAGAGCTGGGGGTCAGGGGTCAGGGGTCAGAGGTTGGTTGAGTTCCATCTGGCTCAAATTTTGCATTTCCTGTGACTTTTGTTTCTCTGTCCCCAACAGGGACTAGTTGGTCCCTCAGGACCTCCTGGTCCCCCAGGATTTCCAGGGGACCGCGGTCTTCCGGTAAGAGACTCTCCCTGTGGTGTGGCTCCAGTAGGGGGATGAGATTTCCGGTTGGGAGCTTGAAGCATGCGTGAGAGGGACTAGGTCTGGGGAGACCACGGCAGCTCTGGCATTGCCTGAGGCCCTGGGTTCGATTCCTCAGCACCACCTAAGCAGAAAAAGCCGGAAGTGGCTCTGAGGCTCAAGTGGGAGAGCGCTCGCCTTGAGCTGAAACGCTAAGGGACAGTGCCCAGGCCCAGAATTCAAGCCCCACGACCAACAACAATAGATTTTCCTGCCCGGGCTGGCTTTGAACCGGGATCCTCAGATCCCAGTCTCCTGAGTAGCTAGGATGACAGGTGTGAGCCATCTTTGTCTCTTGATCTTTCTCTCAGGGCCCTGCTGGCCTTCCAGGGATCCCTGGCATTGATGGGGTTCGGGGTCCACCGGGCACTGTGATCATGATGCCGGTAAGGAGAACTCCACCCAGGGGTGGAGTTCTGATGGAGGACAAGGGAATGCTGTGGGGCGGGGGGGGGGGGGGGGGGGGTCGCGGCGGGGGACACTTCTTGCTGCTTTCCTCACCTGTGATTTCTCTTAGTTCCAGTTTACAAGTGGTTCCCTCAAAGGACCTCCAGTCTCCTTTCAGCAGGCTCAGGCCCAGGCAGTCCTGCAGCAGGCCCAGGTGTGTGTGTGTGTGTGTGTGTGTGTGTGTGTGTTGGAGGGGCTGTGACTATGGGAGGTGACAGCGATGAAGTAAAGGGCTGGTCAGGAGTTGGGGGGGACTTCTGTCTCCTAAAGATGTCAGTCTTGGGTTTCCCTTGCTGGAACAAAATACCTGGGTCTGGGTAGTTTATAACAACAACAACAACAACAAAGCTCCCCCAAACCCCAGACAATGAGTTCCAAGAGCTGAGAAGCTGAAGCGCATGGTGCTGCCCCCTGGTGGTGGCGTCTTGCTGCTGCATGCCATGGCAGAGGGTACCACAGAGCCAGTACGGGGCAGGCCATCCTAGGGGCCCCACCCCTGGCCCCCCCATCTTAACCTCCCAGAGAAGCCATCTGTGGCTTCCATTTACACATCTGGGAGGGGGACATATTGGGAAAGCAGAGAAGCCCCTTTGTAGGGACTGCTGGGGTGAGGGGGTGCTCATGAGAGACTTGGGGCTCCGTTCTCTGTCTTTTCAGCTCTCCATGAAAGGCCCCCCCGGCCCCGTGGGGCTCACCGGGCGCCCAGGCCCTGTGGTAAGATACACATATCTGGGGGAACCTCTGTCCACGGAGATGGTCCTCACCCCCTCTGACCGCACCCCCATGTCTCCTCCTCCAAGGGTCTCCCTGGATATCCAGGTCTGAAAGGGGACTTGGGAGAAGCAGGGCCACAGGTGAGCTCCGGGTAGGGTGGGGTGCAGTGGCCCCCAGGGAGGTGAAAGGGGCCCCCACGGGGGTGTCAGCAATGCTGGGAACGCCTGAAATTCCCACAGCGTCCCACAGGAAACATGTCCTCTGCTTGACCCGCCCTCCCTTCCCTTTCTCCCTCTCCTTCCTCCCTCCCTCCCTTCTTCCCTCCCTGTTTTTTCTTCCTTCTCCCTCTTCCTTCCTCCTTTTCTCCTCCCTCCCTCCTCCTCTCCCTCCCTCTCTTCCTTTTTTCTCCCTCTCTCCCTTCCTTTTGCCCATCTTCCCTCTCTCATTTTCTTTCTTCCCCCTCATGTTTCTCTTCTCTCCTTTCTTTCCTTCCTTCCTCCTCCCTCCCTTTTTTTCCTTCCTCCTTTTCTTTCTCCCTTTCTTCTTTCTTTCCTTCTCCTTCCCTTCCTTCTTTCTTCCTCTCCCTCCTTCTTTTTCTCCCTCCCTCCCTTCCTTCCTTTTTTCCTTCCTTCCTTTGTCCCTTCCTTCCTTCTTTCCTCCTCCCTTCCTCTTTTTCCTTCCTCCTTTGCTTTCTCCCTTCCATCCTTCCTTCTTTCTTTCCTCCTCCCTCCTTCCTTTTCTTCCTCCCTCCCTTCCTCCCTCCCTCCCTCGCTTCCTTCCTTCCTTCCTCCCTCCCTCCCTCCTTCCTTCCTTCCTTCCTCCCTCCCTCCCTTCCTCCCTTCCTCTGTTCTTCTTTCCCCCCTTCCCCCTTCCCCCTTCCTCCCTTCCCCCCTTCCTCCCTTCCTCCCTCCCTCCTTTCCTTCCTTCCTTCCTTCCTTCCTTCCTTCCTTCCTTCCTTCCTTCCTTCCTTCCTTCCTTCCTTCCTTCCTCTCTCCTTTTTTTTCTCTTCTAGGGTCCCCGAGGACTGCAGGGCCCCCCTGGGCCTCCCGGCCGAGAGGGCAAGATGGTGAGTAGCTCCTGGGTCCCCAGATCACCCTGAATCCACCTGCCCAGCCCCCAGCCTGATCTGGCTGTCTGGGGGTCTGGGTGTCGTTGGCAGGAGCAGAGCGCTGGGCTCTGGGGGTGTGGTCAGCCTGCAAGCCCAAGTGCAGCCCAGGGCCCAGAAATTCACACACCCAGCAAGGAGAATGTGTGCATGCGTGCGCGCATGTGTGTGTATGTGTGTGTGTGCGTGTGTGTTTGTGTGCGTGTGTGTGGTGTGCGTGTGTGTGGTGTGTGTGTTTGTGTGTGTGTGTGTGGTGTGTGTGTGTGTGTGCATGGTGTGTGTGTGTGTGGTGTGTGTGTGTGTGGTGTGTGTGTATGTGTGTGTGTGTGGTGTGCGTGTGTGTGGTGTGTGTGTGTGTGCATGGTGTGCGTGTGTGTGGTGTGTGTGTGTGTGGTGTGCGTGTGTGTGGTGTGTGTGTGTGTTTGTGTGTGGTGTGTGTGTATGTGCGTGTGTGTGTGTGTGGTGTGTGTGTGTGCATGGTGTGCGTGTGTGTGGTGTGTGTGTGCATGGTGTGCGTGTGTGTGGTGTGCGTGTGTGTGTGTGTGCATGGTGTGCGTGTGTGTGGTGTGTGTGTGGTGTGTGTGTGCATGGTGTGCGTGTGTGTGGTGTGCGTGTGTGTGTGTGCATGGTGTGCGTGTGTGTGTGTGTGTGTGTGCACGTGCGTGCGCATGCGCGGTATGTTGAATTTGAACTCCACATTTTGGTCTTGCTAGCCCGGTGCTCTACTACTGGGGCCACACTCCCATCCCTTCTTTGCTTTTGTTTATTTTTCAGGCAAGTCCTGCTCTCTGTCTCTCTCTCCCTCTTGCCCTGGGCCAGCCTCGGGCTGCGATTCTGCTATCTCTGCCTCTCACGTGGCTGGGATTGTAGGTGTGCGCTATCACACCTGGCCTGAAGATGGGAATCTTAAAAAAAATCAGTCATGGGGCTTGAACTCAGGGTCTGGGTGCTGTTCCTGAGCATTTTTGTTCAAGGTTCTAGCTCTACCCTTGGGGTTTTTTTTGTGGTTCAGTGGAGATAAGAGTCTCATGGACTTTCCTGCTGGGGCTGGCTTTGAACCATGTTTTTCAGATCTCAGCTTTCTGAGTAGCTGGGATTACAGGGGTGAGCCACCAGTGCCTGGCTAATGTCAGTGGGTGCAGTGGAGGTGTTTGCCAGATGAAGTTTGTACTCAGAGAAGTTCACAGCACAGAACTCAATAACAAGACATAGATGTGTGTGTGTGTGTGTGTGTGTGTGTGTATTAGGGTTTGAACTCTGGGCCTGGGTGCTGTCCTTGAGCTTTTTTTATTTTTGCTCAAGGCTGGCACTCTACTACTTGAGCCCCAGCTCTGCTTCCAGCTCTTTGGGGGTTCACTGGAGATAAGAGTCTCCTGGACTGGCTTCCAACTGTAATCTTTGAATCTTAGCCTCCTGAGGAGCTAGGATTACAGGCGTGAGCCACTGTACCCAGCACGTCCTATGCATGTAGATGATGACTGGAGCTCCCGATTTTGGGGTTGCGGGGGGCAGGGAAGGCTTATCTTTGAGTCTTGGGCCCCCTTTCCTTTAGGGCCGCTCTGGAGCAGATGGAGCTCGGGGCCTCCCGGGAGACACAGGACCTAAGGTCAGCTCTACAGTAGGACTGGGCGGTGGTGGGGACTGTTTGAGTCAAGGGTTCAGGACTCAGCTGGTGTCTCTTTGCACAGGGTGATCGAGGTTTTGATGGTCTACCAGGCCTGCCTGGTGAGAAAGGCCAAAGGGTGAGTAGTTGATTCCTGTCCCCATCCCATCCCCCCCTCCCCCCCGGCTCCTCCCCTCTGTCATCCTCAAGGCCTGAGTCTAAGTTCACCTCTCCTGTGCCTTCTCTTGGTGCCGGTCCTGAGACTTGAACTCAGGGCCTTGGCACTGTCCATGAGCTTTTGTGTTCAAGGCTGGTGCTCTCCCACTCTGAACCCCACGTCCACTGCCAGCTTTTGGGTGGTTTATTGGAGATAACAGTCTCACGGATTTTTTTTTTTCCTGCGGAGGCTGACTTTGAACCGGGATCTTCAGATCTCAGCCTCCCGAGTAGCTGAGATTAGAGGCGGGAGCCACCAGTGTCTTGGCTTCCAACCTCCTCTCTTCTCCTGATGAGTGTGTGGATTCTCCTCTCCCATCTACCCTCTGTCCCCCACTCCAGGGTGACGTTGGCCACGTGGGACTACCTGGCCCCCCAGGAGAGGACGGGGTGAAGGTGAGTTTATAGGAGAATTAGGGGTAGGGGGATCTGGAGGGTCAGAAGCCTGAATGGACCAGCAATAAGGAGGGGGAATTCAGGGACTGAATGGGAGGGTGTTCATGGGGTGTCAGGAAGCCCCTCTATAAAGAACCTAGATGTGGCTGTGAAGACTAGAGGTAAGACTTAGGTTGTAAGTCCAGACCAGGTGCCAGGAGTTTACATCTGTCATCCCAGCTGCTCAGGAGGCTGAGATCTGAGGATCACAGTTCAAAGCCAGCCCAGAAAAGAATGTCCCTGAGACTCTTCTGTCCAATGATTCAGCAAAAAAAGCCAGAAGTGGTGCTGTGGCTCAAGTGGTAGAGCGCCAGCCTTGAGCACAAAAGCTCAGAGATAGCGCCCAGGCCATGTGTTCAGGTTCTAGCACTGGAACACACACACACACACACACACACACACACAGAATCATTAAGGTCAAGACTGAAGAGAGGGAATGTGAGATGAGCCCCACAAACTTTATAGAATGCTGGAGATGCTGGGCGCCGGTGGCTCATGCCTGTCATCCTAGCTACTCAGGGGGCTGAGGTCTGAGGATCGCGGTTCAAAGCCAGCCTAAGCAGGAAAGCCCATGAGACTCTGATCTCCCATACCTCAGAAAACCAGAACTGGAGCTGTGGCCCAAGTGGTAGAGCGCTAGCCTTGAGCTGAAGAGCTGAGGGACAGCGCCCAGGCCCAGAGTTCAGGCCCCACGACTGACCAAAAAGAAGAAGAAAATGCTGGAGACCTTTGTTCTCACTTAACTCTGAGGCTCCCTGCTTTGGGGGGGGCACCTTGATGGGGGGCTCGTACCCCCCTTCCTGATAGCAACTCCTCCTCACAGGGAGCAGAAGGACCTCCAGGGCCCACGGGCCAGGCCGGGGAGCCGGTGCGTATCAACCCCTCCCTCACCCCCCTTCTCCCTCCGTGTGAGTGGAGAGGGGACAGGGCCTCAGTCCCTGGAACACAGCGAGCTGAGCTGTACCCCACTTCTCTGCAGGGGCCGCGCGGTCTGATTGGTCCCAGAGGCTCCCCTGGTCCCCTAGGACGCCCGGTAAGAACGCTGCTGTCTTGGCTTTCTTGCCTGTCTGCTTTTGTCTCCTGACATTTCATCCCAGGCTGTCCATCCTCCCTCCTCCCTCCTCCATCCTCCATCCTCCAATCTCCACCCTCCATCCTCTACCCCTTGACTTCCATTTTCTGTCCTCCATCCTCCGTCCTCTGTCCTCCATCCTCCGTCCTCAGTCCTCTGTCTTCCGTCCTCTGTCCTGGTCTCACAGCCTGGTCTCTACTTCCCAGGGTGTCACCGGAAGTGATGGGGCCCCAGGCGCCAAAGGCAATGTGGTAAGGACGGGATCCTCTGAACCCCCGCCCTTTGCACATGCCAACGCCACCATCTTTGTCCGTGCCGGTGACTCTTCCCATCACCTTTACCCACGTGGGACACCCGTGTCACCGCACCCCCTCTTTCCCCGCAGGGACCTCCGGGGGAGCCAGGCCCCCCAGGACAGCAGGGAAACCATGGGTCGCAGGTTGGAATTGTCTTTCCCAGCCCTTGGGGGTGGGGGGGGGGGTGGCGGTGGTCCACTGAGACCCTAGGCCTCTCCTCCTCTCCCTGATCCGGAGACTCACAGTTCTACCTCCCCCCCACCCTTTCCATCCTTGCAGGGAATCCCCGGCCCCCAGGGACCCATCGGCACTCCTGGGGAGAAGGTGAGCCACCCCCCTTCACCGTCCCCGCATCTCAGACAATGTTCCTCAAGTCTGTCACCAGGAAAAGCACCCCACTTCCTGCTTAGTGTTTTGTTTTTATTTTTGGTGGGTTGTGGGTCTTGAACTCTGGGCCTGGGCGCTGTCCCTCAGCTCTGCAGCTCAAGGTGAGTGCTCTACCGCTTGAGCCACAGCGCCACTTCCGGTTTTCTGGTGGTTTATTGAAGATAAGAGTCTCATGGACTTTCCTGCCCGGGCTGGCTTTGAACCACGATCCTCAGATCTCAGCCTCCTGAGGAGCTGGGATGACAGGCGTGCGCCACCAGCGCACCCCCCCCCCCCCGCTACTTTTTAATAAAAGCAGTCCTGGGGCTCGAACTCAGGGCCTCAGTGGTGCTCTTGAGCTCGTTCACTCAAAGCTACCTCTCTGCACTGGAGTCACAGCTCCCCTTCCAGCGTTTTTTGTTGATTCACTGGAGATAAAGAGCCTCGCTGGCTCTCCTGGCCCAGGGTTGCCTCTAAACTCGGGTATTTAGCTGTCAGCTTCTTGAGTGGCTAGGATTATTACAGGCATGCGTCCCCATCGCCTGGCTAGACTTTATTTTTCGACATAGGGTCTCACTGTGTAGGACAGGTTGGCCTCGAACTTTCCCTCCTGCCTTAGCCTCCTGAGTGCTGGGATTACACGCATCTGTCACCATGCCCAGCCTTCCTCTCCATAAACCCACCAACCTTCCTTCCTTCTTTCCTTCCTTCCTTCCTCTTCTTTTTCTTTTCTTTCTTTAAGGCTTCTTTTATCCATTCTGTCACCCCCTTTCTTGCCAGCCCAGACTTACAGAGTCTCCTTGTTGGGGAAGGGTCAGCGGTGAAGCGGAAGCCCATCTGGCCCAGCTCACACAGGGAGACGTTGTCAGGACGCAGAACACGCCTGAGCCTGTCACAGAGGGGCTTCTGAGACTCCTGGGCGGGGAACCCCACTTCCTCCGGGCCTCTGCGTCCCTCTGTCTGGCACACAAGCTTCGCTCTGGTGTCTCGGCTCTGGGCTTTGTCTCCTGGCAGCTGCTAGTTCCTCCCCCATCCTCTGCTGTGTGGCATTAACCATTTCCGCCTCTGTGACCAGAGATTGTTGGCCAGAGTCACTCAGTCAGCCTTGGTGTTTCTTTCTGGAAGCTGATTGGCTGAGCCTGGCCAAGGTATCCGCCTACTGACCTGGGAAGTGCTCCTAGGATGTAAGGGTCACATGTCTGCCTACGCCCCATGCTTTTGCAGATGGAAGTGTGTGTGTGTGTGTGTGTGTGTGTGTGTGTGTGTGTGTGTGTGGTGAGACATTTAAAGAAAGGGGTGTGTCTGGGAAGTCCCCCCCAACCCTAACACTCCACTCACTCTGGAACTGTGGGCCTTGCTATACACTAAAGCTGAGATCTGAGGATCTCAGTTCAAAGCCAGCCCAGGCAGGAAAGTCCATGAGACTCTTATCTCCAATGAGCCACCAGAAAACCAGAAGTGGCGCTGTGGCTCAAGTGGTAGAGCGCTAGCCTTGAGCTGAAGAGCTGAGGGACAGCGCCCAGGCCCAGAGTTCAGGCCCCATGACTGGACACCCCCCCCCCCAAAAAAAAAAAAAAAAAGAGTCTCATGGACTTTTCTGCCAGGCTGGCTTTGAACCACGATCCTCAGATCTCAGCCTCTGGGGTTGCTGGGATGACAGGCGTGAGCACTGGGGCTCAGCTCCCTCTCATTCTTCCTATCAGTTAGCTTTCTGTGGAGGAGGATTTCTGAGGCTCAGAGAGGGCGAGGGGTCTTCCTCAGGCCACACAGCAAGTCTCAGTAGAGCTAGGATGGTGATGAGGTGGTCCTGCCTGTGGTGGAACCCCAGGCCCTCTGAGACCCTTTCTTCTCTTTTCAGGGTCCCCCTGGAAATCCAGGAATTCCAGGTGTCCCCGGAGCTGAGGGTCCTCCGGTGAGACACAGGGGTTGCGGACAAGGCAGCGGGGGAAAGGGGGGCTTTGGCGCTCTCTGATGACGTGGTTGGTTTCTCTTTCAGGGTCACCCAGGCCACGAGGGTCCCACAGGAGAGAAAGGGGCGCAGGTGAGTGAGCAGGACAGGAAGGAGGAGAAGGAAGCAGGGTCAGCAGTTGGCGGCCATTGCAGGGGGCGCGGGGAATGCTGGGATCGTGGAGGGGGTGGACAGGATGGCATCGACCGTGTTTTTCAGGGTTCTCCAGGATCCGCGGGCCCCCCAGGCTATCCAGGACCTCGGGGCGTTAAGGTAGGCGACACATGGGGTTTTAGGAGTGGGGGTGTAGAGGCGTGTGTCGCGAACTAGCTGGGTCAGACCTTGCCTGGTGTTTGTTGAGACGAAGCATTGGCCAGGCCAGGTGTAATGTGAGCTGGAGTTCGAGTCCCAGCAATGAAACAACTTGTTTCCAAGGCCTCTCAGGCCGCAAAATCCAGCACCGGCCCAGGGCCCGTGGCTCATGCCTGTCATCCTAGCTACTCGGGAGGCTGAGATCTGAGGATCGCGGTTCAAAGCCAGCCCAGGCAGGAAAGTTTGGGAGACTTATCTCCAAAGAACCACCAGACAACTGGAAGTGGCGCTGTGGCTCAAGTGATAAAGTGCTCGCATTGAGCTGAAGAGCTGAGGGACAGCGCCCAGGCCCAGGGTTCAGGCCCCACAACCCACAAAAAAGAAAAATAAATCCATCACTGATCAAGTTCCTTAGATGGAAGTCTTCTTTCTTTCTTTCTTTCTTTCTTTCTTTCTTTCTTTCTTTCTTTCTTTCTTTCTTTCTTTCTTCCTTCCTTCCTTCCTTCCTTCCTTCCTTCCTATTTTTCCTTCTCTCCTTCCTTCCCTCCCTCCCTTCCTTTTTCTTTTTTTGCAAGTCCTGGGGCTTGAACTCAGGGCCTGGGCGCTGAGCCTCTTCTGCTCAAGGCTAGCGCTCTACCACTTAAGCCACAGCACCACGTCCAGTTCTTTCTGTATGTGGTACTGAGGAATCGAACCCGTGGCTTCATGCATGCTAGGCCCACACTCTACCACGAAGCCACACCCCCAGCCCTTATTCTTAATTATAATGAATGAATCATGCTTGATTCATTATTTTTGATGATTAAATATCCCTAATCTCCACGTCTCATTTGCAAATCCAGCCCGCTCACAGGTTGTCTCCAAGAGCAAAGATAATATAGGTAGGGCGTGCTGCCGTCCATGACCCCAGCCATCCACTCGGGGGTCTGGGGCGGGCAGAGAGGCTGCAAAGAATAGGTTGTAGTTGAATTCTAGTTCCATGGTCCGGGAAGCCAGAGGCCAGGTGTAAAGAAGCATTGTTACCTTGTGGATAATGGAATTTCCCTGAGCTGGAAATAGCCCAGAGTCTCTCCAGAGGCTTCCGCTGTACCCAGTGTCCCTCCTCGCGTTGGCTGAGCCGGGCTGTGTGTGGCCAAGTGTGATTATCAGCGTGCTGAGAGCGGGAAGTGTCTAGCTCAGAGTCCTGCCTGTCACCAGCCAGAGTCCTTGTCAGCCCAAAGGGGGACGAGGGGACATTTCTGCCCCCAAAGGACTAGGGACAGAGTGACCCTGCACATGAAATTTCCCCTTCCCAGGCTCACCCTGCACCCATGATCCTAAGGGGATGCTGGGGGGGGGGGAGGGGGAGGGGAGGGGCTGTGCCAACTGGACCGGATTGGGGGGGGGTGCACTTTTGGACTTATTCTGAGCTGTTTAGGGGTAAAAGGGGTGTGTGTGGGGGGCGGTGAGAGCCTAGAATATTCCTTAACCAGAGAAGGAGACTGCGAGTTTGTTTATGAATTTATTAATTAATTGTTCAGGGTACCTCTGGCAACCGGGGTCTCCAAGGAGAAAAAGGAGAGAGGGTGAGTAAAAGAGGGTTTCGTGGGAGGGGGTGGTGGCTTCGGGAACCCCCACAGGGGGATCCTGGCTGAGGCTCTGACTTCTGGTTTCTCTCTCTCTCCCTCTTTCCCTCTCTCCCTCCCTTCCTCCCTCCCTCACCCCCCCCCCCCCCATCTCTCTCTGTCAGGGAGATGACGGCTTTCCTGGCTTCAAGGGTGACGGAGGGCTGAAAGGCGATCGGGTAAGCTGAGCTCCAGGGAAGGCTGTCCGGGACTAAGATGGAGCTTGAAGAAACAGAAAGGGTCTGGGAAGGTGGCTCAGCGGTAGTGTTTGCCTGGCATGCACGAAGCCCTGGGTTCGATTCCTCAGCACCACACACACAGAAAAAGCCACAAGTGGCGCTGTGGCTCAAGTGGTAGAGCGCTCGCCTTGAGCAAAAGCAGCTCTGGGACAGCGCCCAGGCCCTGAGTTCAAGTCCCACAACTGGGAAAAAGAAAGAAAGAAACAGGAAGGAGATATATGATGTTCAGTGTGTGTGTGTGTGTGTGTGTGTGTGTGTGTGTGTGTGTGTGTGTGTGTGTGTGTGTGTGGTCTGTGTATCGGTCCTGGGGCTTGAACTCAGGGCCTCAGCGTTGTCGCTGAACTGTTTCATTCCAAGCTAGCGCTCTACCACGTGAATCCCAGCTTCATTTCCAGCTTTTGGGTGGTTCACTGGAGATCAACGCCCCACAGACTTTCCTGCCTGGCCTGGCTTTGAACCGTGATCCTCAGATCTCAGCCTCCTGAGTAGCGGAGATCATAAGCATGAACCACTGGCTCCCGGCTTCAATGTCTCTCTCTTTTCTATTCCAGGGGCAACCGGGCCCCCCAGGTCCCCGGGGAGAGGATGGGCCTGAGGGACCGAAGGGCCCCGAGGGGCTGGCGGGTGAGGAGGGCGCTCCAGGCATCGCTGGGGAGAAGGTGAATTAACCTTAGTTCCTTCTGAGCTTGGCCTTTTTTGGGGGTGCTGGGGATGGACCCCAGGATCGCTCCCAGGTTAGGAAAGCCTGTCTGTACCCTGCCATTACCCCTTAATAGCTCAGTTGAGCCTCTCAGAACAACGCATGCTCACGTGTCATAACCACCTTGATTATAATTTCATAAACCAGGAAATTGAGATTTTTTTTTTGCCATAATTGCAGTGACCTCTCCTAGGACCTTAGCTGTCAGCAGGACTTGAACTCACTCTCTCCGCCTCATCTCTAGCTGCTTCATATTTCCTGAACTTTCCCCTCCGACCTCCAGCTGGCAGTGTCTGACCTCCTGTCTCATCTTTTCTTGGCAGGGCAAACTTGGGGTGCCTGGCCTCCCTGGTTACCCCGGACGTCCAGGACCCAAGGTAAGAAGCCAGGGAGCTGGAGGTGGGTGGACTCAGGAAAGGGACTATGGCTGGGAGACCAGGCATTGGTTTGTGAGTGGAGCTGTCCAAGCACTCACGCCTGTAATCCCAGCTACTCAGGAGGCTGAGATCTGAGGATGGTGGTTCAAAGCCAGCCGGAGCAGGGAAGTCTGTGAAACTCTTATCTCCAATTATGCACCAGAAAACCGGACGTGGAGCTGTGGCTCCAGTGACAGAGCACTAGCCTTGAGTGAAAAAACAACAAGAAAAAGCTCAGGGACTGTGCCCAGGCCCTGAGTTCAAGCCCCACCACGAAACCAAACCTGGCACAGTGATTTGATGTGACTCGGGTGGCTCCATCTACCGAGTCAGTGAGGGGAGATGTATCTGTTTTCTGTCACTGTAACCAAATGCCCGAGGTTGGGTCCTTTATAAAGTAGGAAGGTTTGTCTAGCTCAGTGTTTGGAGGCTGAAATTCAAGATCAGGTTGCCCCACGGATTTGGCCTTTGGCAAGGGTCCCCCTGGTCACACGCTCAACAAGGTGGATGGCATCCTCGGGGAGCACAGGACCTAGAGCTTGTTAGTAGTGAGTTGCTCTGCTGTGCAGCCATGCCCCGTGGCACAGGTCACGCCCCTGACACCAGGTCCTGTGATTGAGCCCGACCACTCACACTCTGGCCCCTCCCCCTAGTGACCAGGCCCCACCCCCAGCACTCTAGACAAACCCGAAACACTGGAGCACTCTTCTGACATTGGGTTTTAGGATTGGACCACACCCCCAGCAAGAGCCACACCCCCAGCACCGGACCACGCCCCTAAACCCCAGCCACTCTTAGCACAGTACCACCTCCCCCCCACCCAAAGCCCAACCATGTTCCCAGTACCAGCCATGCCCACAACTGGGCATGCCCACCCGCTACAGACCAAGCCCATTCATAAACCGGCCACACCCTAACTCTGAGCCACACCCCTAGAATAGACCTACACCTTAGTCCTCAGTCCTCAGCCCTGCTTTTTTCTTTTGTGCCAGTCCTGGGGCTTGAACTCAGAGTCTGGGTGCTGTATCTGAGCTTTTTTTTGCTCAAGGTTAGCACTTTACCATTTGAGCCACAGATCCACTTCCAGCTTTTTGGTGGTTCGTTGGAGATAGAGTCTCACTGACTTTCCTGCCCAAGCTGGCTTTGAACCAGGATCCGCAGATCTCAGCCTCCTTTTACAGGTGTGTGCCACCTGTGCCTAGCTCAGTCTTGCTTTTTTTTTGGTCCGGTCGTGGGGCCTGAGCTCTGGGCCTGGGCGCTGTCCCTCAGCTCTTCAGCTCAAGGCTAGCACTCTACCACTTGAGCCACAGCGCCACTTCCAGCTTTTTTCTTTTTGCTTATGTGGTGCTGAGGAATCGAACCCAGGACCTCAGGCATGCAAGGCAAGCGCTCTACCACTGAGCCACCTTCCCAGCCCTTCAGTCCTGCGTTTGTAGAGCAACCCTTTTACAGAACTGCATTAATCCCTTTCCATGGGTCCCAAGGACCTAAAGACCTCTCCTTAGGCTCCACCTCTTAAAGAGCCCCCACCCTAATACTGTCACACCCTGCAGCAAATCTCCACTGCCTATTTGTCATGGAAGACTCCACCCCAATCAGGTCAGAGGAGAACTCTAAGAAACACAGATCGAACCTGTCTTGACTCAATGACAGTGCTTCCTCTCTTATAAAAAAATGACAGTTGTCTGCCCATGTTTTTGTGGGTGAGACTTGTCCAGTGTTACATCGTAATCATTTCTCATCTGTGTTTATATGAAATTGTTCGGGAACTTAAAGATTCTGGGAAAGGAATTGGGGTGCAGAATTCTTCCAGAGTACCATGTTTTGTGTTCTACATGTAATTTCATCCCCCCATCTTCCCCCCAGCCAAACTTTCTTTCTAGTGGTTTTGCTTGAGTTCCCTTAACCATCTTGCTTTTGCAATTTATATTTCTAAAGCTCTGAGAATTTTTTTTTTTGCATGTGAAATCACAGTATTCCCAATAGCAAATATACAAGACAGAAATAGGATTGGGATTACATTCAGAGCACCGTAGCAAAGTAGACATCTGCCCTTCTGCAAGCAGATGTTCATGGGAATTTGACAGACGCTCCCTGAACAGAGGCTGGCCAGAATCTATTGGCTATGGGGCAGGGCATCAGAGGCTCAGCCTGTGCAAAAGTCCTGAGGCAGAAATGTGAGATGTATGTGTTTGGGGGACACAGAGGAGGACAGTGTGGCTGAAGTGGCCAGAGAAGTGGACAGGGGAAGGGGAGGAGGAGAGATGGCTGCTCTGGAAAAAGGAAGCCACTGGAATGGCCCTAGAGGAATAGAGCACCTAACTCTCACTTCTATCTCTTCTCAGGGATCGATTGGATTTCCTGGTCCGCTAGGACCATTGGGAGAGAAAGGAAAGAGGGTGAGCTGTACAGTTGGGAGAGGGAAGGGTTTGGGGAGGGGAACAGCATACCTCTGCACACAGTCGAGGTGGGCTCTGGGTGTGTGTAGCCGGGGTGTTAGGTTTAGAAGGTGCTGTGCCTACATGCTTTTGTCTGGGGCCATCCACAGACCACAATCCTTCAGCTCCGTGAAGTTCTGCAGAGCTAGGATTGCAGGCGTGCATCTCAATGCCCAGCCTGAGTGTCTGTGGTCTTTTCTTTGTTTGCATGGTTGTGAGCATAAATGGTGTGTGTGTGTGTGTGCGCGTGTGTAAGCTTGTGAGTAGTGTGCGGCAGACATCTTTGGGGGAGCTGCATTCGCATGTCTGTCATACTTGGCACCCTACCTCTGCTTTCCCCTCAATGAATGAATTTGCTTTTCAGGGTAAAGCAGGACAGCCAGGCCTGGAAGGAGAGCGGGGGCCTCCAGTAAGACGCTTGGTTGAGTCTTGGGGAGGGAGGAGGGGCGTGGTGGGCTGAGGAAGGGGCGGGGTCATGGCATCTGGGAGGGGAGGAGCCTGTTCCCGGTGTCACCTGCTTTGTTTCTGTGCAGGGCTCCAGAGGAGAGAGGGGACAGCCGGGGGCCACGGGGCAACCAGGCCCCAAGGTAGGAGTGTGCGGGTAACCAAGACCCCCCCCCCAGTCCCTCAGCCCCCCCATCCTCCCATTCCAGTTCTACTGCTCTGTGGCTTGAGTCTCTTTTGCTTTCTTCTAGGGTGATGTGGGTCAGGATGGGTCCACTGGCGTTCCTGGAGAAAAGGTAAGAGAGAAACAGAGACAGAGAGAAGCCCAGGGGACTGGGAAGGTGGCTCAGTGGTAGAGCGCTGGCCTCCCATGCCTGAAGCCCTGGGTTCGATGCCTCAGCACCACAGAAGCAGAAAAAGTTGGAAGTGGCGCTGTGGCTCAAGTGGTAGAGCGCTCGCCTTGAGCTGAAGAGCTGAGGGACAGCGCCCAGGCCCAGAGTTCAGACCCCACAACTAACAAGGAGGAGGAGGAGGAGGGGGAGGGGGAGGGGGAGGGGGAGGGGGAGGGGGAGGGGGAGGGGGAGGAGGCAGCAGATGTCAGGTAGCTCAGCCCTGCCAGGCATACTGGAAGCACTCAAAAGTGCCAGTGATTTTGTTTGAGATAGGGTCTCTTTTGTGTAGCCCAGACTGACTGAAGTCTTTTCTTTCTCTTGTACTCTTTCCCTCCCTCCCTCCCTCCCTCTCTTCTTCCCTTCCATCCCCTCCCTCCCTCCCTCCCCTCCCCCTTCCTTCCTTCCTTCCTTCCTTCCTTCCTTCCTTTCTTCCTTCCTTCCTTCCTTCCTTCCTTCCTTCTTTGTTTCCTTTTTCTTTTATGCCAGATCTGGGTCTTGAACTCAGGGCCTGGGCACTGTCCCTGAGCTTCCTTTGCTCAAGGCTAGTACTCTATCACTTGAGCCACAGAGCCACTTCTAGTGTGTGTGTGTGTGTGTGTGTGTGTGTGTGTGTGTAATTGAGATGAGAGTCTTATGGACTTTCTGTCCAGGCTGGCTTTGAACTTCCATCCTCAGATCTCAGCCTCCTGTAGCTAGGATGACAGGCGTGAGTCACCAGGGCCTGGCTCTGACTGAGCGCTTGATCCTCCTGCCTCAGCTTCCTGAGTGCTGGGATTACAGGTGTACACTACCACTCCTGGCTGTGTGCTAGTTTGGGATGTGGGGCTCAGGGACAGTGCAGGCAGGAAGAAAATAATAATAATAATAATTTCTGATTTCATTTCAAGGGCCTCCCTGGTCTACAAGGCCCCCCAGGATTCCCTGGGCCAAAGGGGCCCCCTGTGAGTGAGCTCACCCTGATTGGTGGGGTCAAGTGGGAGGGGACATGGAAAGGGAAGGCCTTGTATCTACACCCCGACTCTTCTACTTTACCAGGGTCCTCAAGGGAAAGATGGGGTATCAGGGCACCCCGGGCCGAGAGGAGAGTTGGTGAGTGATCCTTTAACCCCAGACTTTACAGCGTCCGTGTTTTCCTCTCCCATGCTCACCCCACCTTCCCTTTTCTCCCCAGGGCTTCCAAGGTCAGACAGGCCCGCCTGGACCCGCCGGTGTTCTGGGCCCACAGGTAAAAGTGGATCCCATGGGTGCCTGTTCCCCCCATTTTGTACCAATTGGGGGAACATGGCTAGGAAGGGGATCTCTGATGCAACCCCCATAAACTGCCCCCTTAATCACAACATGTCCTTTTCCTACCTAGGGAAAGATAGGGGACGCGGGGCCTCTGGGTGAGAGGGGCCCCCCAGGGCCCCCGGGACCTCCTGGGGAGCAGGGGCTCCCAGGCCTGGAGGGCAGAGAGGGCGCCAAGGTGAGTGGATGGCCCCCACGGGAGACGTTGGGTGGCTGTCCCGGAAGTCTTGAGGGAGGTGGAATCTGCCTGTGACTCTAAGGTTGGGGGGTAGACACCCCATCTCTGTAGGCTGACCTGTCTCCCTTCTGCACTTCTGCAGGGTGAACTGGGACCCCTCGGGCCTCTCGGAAAGGAGGGGCCACCTGGGCCCACAGGCTTTCCTGGTCCCCAAGGAGCCCCCGGGGATCCCGTGAGTATCATTGGGGTTCCCTCCCCCCCCACCCCATGCCCGTCCCCACATGTGACTTTTGGGGGTTAGGAAGCAGAGAAGAAGCTCAGGTGTGGAGCTGTGGTGGAGGTTCCCTGGGGTCACTGTGGATAAAGCAGTCAGGCTGGGGGGTGCACCCGCAGGGAAGACAGGACATGGGGTTCCCTTGGGGGGCTCATAACTGTGGCCGATTCTTTCCTTCAGGGACCCACTGGTTTGAAGGGTGACAAGGGGCCTCCTGGTCCCATCGGGGCCAATGTAAGTCGAGCCCACATCTATCTGCTGGGAGGAGAGTGGGGTACAGGCTTCTTGGGGTCTCATAGAAGCCAGGTCTTACCAGAGTCATCTTTGGGGTCAGCCAGACCAGAGACACACAATTTTGTGCCATTGGTAGGATAGTGTGTCACTCAGAGAAATCTGAGTGGGGTCAGATTCTGAGTGGGGTCATCTTTGGGGTCAGTCAGACCAGAGACACCCAATTTTGTGCCATTGGTAGGATAGTGTGTCACTCAGAGAAATCTGAGTGGGGTCAGATTCTGAGTGGGGTCATCTTTGGGGTCAGTCAGACCAGAGACACCCAATTTTGTGCCATTGGTAGGGTAGTGTGTCAAATCGCTATAGCCAGAGTGGCGCGGTGGCTCACGCCTGTCATCCTAGCTACTCAGGAGGCTGAGATCTGAGGATCAAGGTTCAAAGCCAGCTGGGGCAGGAAGGTCTATGAGACTCTTATTTCCAATGAACCACCAGAAAACCAGAAGTGGAGCTGTGGCTTAAGAGGAAGAGAGCTCACTTGGAGCCACCAGTGCCTGGCTGGGTCTCTTGATTAAAAATCAACACAAGCCAGGCGCCAGTGGTTCTCAGCTGTCATCCTAGCGACTCAGGAGGCTGAGATCTGAAGATCACAGTTCGAAGCCAGCTGGGCCGAGGAAAGGCCGTGAGACTCTTATCTCTAATGAACTAGTCAGAAAAACACAGAAGTGGCACTGTGGCTTAAGTGGTAGATTCTTGAGCAAAAGAAGCTCAGGGACGATGCCCAGGCCTTGAGTTCAAGCCCCAGGACAGAGGAAGAAGGAGGAGGAGGAGGAAACTGACACAAACCAAAGCCATTACAAGTGTGTCATTTCTCTCTCCACCCCATTTTCAGGGCTCCCCCGGTGAGCGGGGTCCTGTGGGCCCATCTGGAGGCATTGGGCTTCCTGGCCAAAGTGGAGGTGAAGGCCCGATGGGTCCCGTAGGAGAGAAGGGGTCCCCGGTAAGTGTGCTGCCCATCCCATCCCTCAGCACCTTAGGGTCCTGGCTCCCGCAAATGCCTTTCGGCCCTAACACCCCCTTTTTAATTGCTCCCCCATCAGGGAGAACGTGGATCCCCTGGCCCCACTGGCAAAGACGGGGTGCCAGGACCCCTGGGGCTCCAGGGACCCCCTGGAGCTGCTGGGCCTTCTGGAGAGGAAGGGGACAAGGTGAGGGGCTGGCAGACAAGGGAGGGTCTGGGGGGAGGGGACGGGGGGAGGGGCTCCATCCTCCCTTCCTTCTTTCTTCCCCAGGGAGAAGTGGGGGCCCCTGGCCACAAAGGGAGCAAAGGAGACAAGGGCGATGCGGTGAGTTATGCGGAGGGGAGGACCCCAGTAATAAATGTCCAGATGGGCTGGGGATGTTTGTCTTGCTGAGTATTTGTGTGGGAGGGGGAGGCTTGATCTCTGGGCATGAGTAAGGCTGGTGCTCTACCACTTGAGCCATAGCACCACTTTTGGCTTTTGGGAGGATAATTGGAGATAAGAGTCTCACAGACTTTTCAGCCTGGGCTGGCTTCGATCTGTGATCCTCAGATCTCAGCCTCCTGAGTAGCTGGGATTACAGGGGTGCACTACCACACCTGGTAGCTAAGGAAATCTTTCTTTAGGGGGGGAGATTGAGTGCTGTCCCTTAGTCCTTCAGCTCTACCACTAGAACCACAGCACCACTTCCAGTTTTCTGGTGGTTCATTGGAAATAAGAGTCTCATGGGCTTTCCTGCCCGGGCTGGCTTTGAACCAGGATCCTCAAATCTCTGCCTCCTAAGTAGCTAGGATGACAGGCGTGAGCCACCGGTGCCCTGCACTAAGGGAATTTTCTATTCTGTCCTTTCCCCTAGGGCCCACCTGGACCAATAGGAATTCGGGGTCCTGTGGGACACCCAGGCCCCCCGGTGAGTCCTTGCTTTGGATCCTCAGTGGGAAGAGAGAACATTTCTCTCCATGACTGACTCAATCCCCACCTCGGTCTCCTTTCCATGGTGCCTTCTTGCCATCTCTCCCCAATTTCCTCAAACCTTCTCTTCACATCTGCCACTGAATCAAACCCTGGCCTAGTCCCCAACCCAAACCTTAACTTGAACTTTGGCTTAGAGTCTAGCCTTGCCTTCATTTTATTTCTTTCTTTCTCTTCTTTTTTTTTTTTTTGTTGGTCATGGGGCTTGAACTCTGGGCCTGGGCGCTGTCCCTCAGCTCTTCAGCTCAAGGTGAGTGCTCTACCACTTGAGCCACAGTGCCACTTCCATTTTTCTAGTGGATTATGGGAGATCAGAGTCTCACGGACTTTCCTGCCCAGGCTGGCTTTGAACCATGATCCTCAGATCTCAGTCTCCTGAGTAGCTAGGATGACAGGCATGAGCCACTGGCGCCCAGCCTTGCCTTCATTTTCTAATGCTATGGTGACGTCCATGCAAGCCTGCCAGCGCAGGTCTCTGTTCTACTTTTTTTCTTTTTGTCGGTCATAGGCTTGAACTCAGGGCTTAGGGCCTGTTCCTGAGCTCTTTTGCTCAGGGCTAGTGCTCTTTGGGTCACAACTCTACTTCTGGTTTTCTGGTGGTTCATTGGAGAGAAGAGTCTCACGGACTTTTCCTGCTCAGGCTGGCTTTGAACCGGGATCCTCACAGATCTCAGCCTCCTGAGTGGTTGGAATTACAGGCATGGGCTACAAATGCCTGGCCCAACACATGAACCTTTGAGAGTCACATTTAAGCCATAGCAGACCCAAACCTTAAGCCTGATCCTAATCCTTTCTAACCTCATACAAACCCTTCTCATGGCCATAACCTGAACCCCCAAACTGTCTCTATCAATCCCCATCTCATCTCTCCTCTGAACCCCCAATTCCATTCCTTAACCCTGACTTTTACTAGAACCCCAACTCCTAACCAAACAAAATCCCAACCCTTCACTTCAATCCTTACCTTTGACCATTGTTTGATTGGACCCTCAACTCCTCTCTGCCCTTGTCCAGGGGGCTGACGGGGCTCAGGGACGCCGGGGATCCCCAGGCCTCTTTGGGCAGAAGGGAAATGAAGGAGTCAGGGGCTTTGTGGGTGTGATCGGCCCTCAAGGCTTGCAGGTGAGTGTCTGAGTTTGGGGGGGGGTAGGTGGCCATTCTGATTTCCCCACACCCTGGACCCCATATTTGCTTCTTTGTTCCGCAGGGACTTCCAGGCCCTCCTGGAGAGAAAGGGGAGGTCGGAGATGTAGGATCCATGGTACGGATTCCCAGGAAAGGAGCGGGAGGGGGGCGGGGAAGCGACATTTCCATCCATTCTGGGGCTCATTTATAAGGGGTCTTTTAATTTTGTTTTGTTTTTGGCCAGTCCTGGAGCTTGAACTCAGGGCCTGGGCACAGTGTGTGAGCTTCTTTTGCTCAAGGCTAGCACTCAACCACTTGACCCACAGCGCCACTTCATGCTTTTTCCCTGTATGTGGTGCTGAGGAATGGAACCCAGGGCTTCATGCATGCTAGGCAAACACTCTACCACTGAGCCACATTCCCAGCATCTTTTTTTTTTTTTTTTTTTGTGCTGATACTGGGGCTTGAATTTAGGGCCTGGGTGCACTCCCTGAGCTTTTTCTTTTTGTGGGTCGTGGGGCTTGAACTCTGGGCCTGGGCACTGTCCCTCAGCTGTTCGATTCAAGTCCAGTACTCTACCACTTGAGACACAGCGCCACTTCTAGTTTTGTTTTTGTTGTTGTTGTTGTTGTTGGTTCATTGGAGGTAAGAGTCTTGTGGACTTGGGCTGGGTGCCCATGGCTCACGCTGTAATCCTAGCTACTCAGGAGGTTGAGATATGAGGATCACGGTTCAAAGCCAGCCCGGGCAGGAAAGCCCGTGAGACTCTTATCTCCAATGAACCGCCAGAAAACCAGAAATGGTGCTGTGGCTCAAGTGGTAGAGCACTTGCCTTGAGCTGAAGAGCTGAGAGACAGCTCCCAGGCCCGCTTTGAACTGGATCCTCAGATCTCAGCCTCCTGAATGGCTGGAATGACAGGTGTGAGCTCCCTGTGTCCTGCTATTTCTGGTTAGCTAGCTGAAAGTCCCTGGATTGCCCAGAGGGCCCCCCGTGGACAGCAGGTACAGGTTGTACACTGCAGTTCTGGGGAGTCATGGGTAACACTGTATCTTCTCACAGGGTCCCAATGGGGCTCCTGGCCCTCGGGGTCCTCATGGCCCCAGTGGATCTGAGGTAAGCAGTCTGGAGGTGGGGGCAGGATGGCTCAAAGCGGAGGGAAGGGATTGCAGGCTTCCCCCCTCTTACCTGGCCTTCTTGCGTATCCCAGGGCCCACCCGGGCTCCCAGGAGGACTTGGCCAGCCAGGCTCTGTGGGGGAGAAGGTGAGAGAAAGGCAGAGGGAGGGAAAATGGGGGTCAAACCTGCCAGTATTGGGGTGTCTGTACTGACGAGCCTTTTCCTCGTCTGCCTTGTCTGTCTTCCTGATCTCTCTCTGCCCTCCACAGGGTGAGCCGGGCGAGGCTGGAGACCCAGGCCTCCCTGGATCTCCAGGCATTCCAGTGAGTCTCTATTCAATATGGAAACCCCCAATCCCCTGGCATGTTGGGTGACTCGGAGGTATAGGGCTGTGCAGGTTGAGCACTGTGCGAGGGCATGGCTGGGGGCATCTGGACCAGCTGGGCCCCACACTTCAGTCCCAGCTGTGTCCCTGACCTCTGACCCTGTGTTGCCTTAAGCAACTCTGACCCCCGATCCCAGAAAAGCCCTAGCCCAGCCTGATACCAGCTTATTCCTGTAGAAGCCAGGTCACTCTGACCTCTGATCTCTGACCTCTGACCTCTGTCTCTGCAAGGGACCCAAAGGTGAAGTTGGCGAGAAGGGGGACTCAGGCCCATCGGGGGCTGCTGGAGCCCCGGGCAAGAAAGGGCCACCTGGAGAAGATGGCTCTAAAGGAAGCATGGTGAGTCTGGGGGCGCTGTAAAGATCGGGGTACACTTCCAGCTAGCAGTCCTTTCTCGGATTTAGTGATCCTGTGAACAACTTAGGACAGGGCTGAGCGAGTGGATGGTGAAAGGGTAAAGCTGGGAAGGAAAGAATGAATGAAGGGGTCGATGGATGAGTCAAAGAACAAAGGAGCGGATGAATGAGGCAGGGAACGAATGGGCGAAGGAAGCAATGAATCAGTGGAAGACTGAAGCACTGAATGGATGAATGGGCCAATGAATGAATAAGCAGGTGAATGAAGCAATGAATGAATGAGTGGAGGCATGAATCGAACGAATGTGTGGAAGAATGAATGAAGCAGTAAGTGAGTAGGTGGAAGCGTGAAGCACTGAAATGAGTGAGTGAATGAAGCAATGAACGAATGCGTGAGTTACATGAGCCACGGTTGCTGTGGGGTAAAAGGCAATTTCAAACGGCATCATTCTCACCTTGTTGGAAGGTCAAGGTCAAGGCTGGTCCCTGCTGGACGATGTGCAGGTTGAGGTCTGCTTGTCTCTTGGTAGAGCTTGGGGTGCAGGGCCAGGCTGGGTGCCGGTGGCTCACGCCTGTCATCCTAGCTATTCAGGAGGCTGAGATCTGAGGATCACGGTTCAAAGCCAGCCCGGGCAGGAAAGGCTGTGAGACTTTTATCTCCAATGAACCACCAGAAAACAGGAAGTGGCGCTGTGACTCAAGTGGTAGAGCGCTCGCCTTGAGCTGAAGAGCTGAGGGACAGCGCCCAGTCCCTAAGTTCAAGCCCCTACAACCAACTAACTAACTTAATTAATTATTATTAATACTGAGAATAGAATAAATCAATGACCTCTTGCTAACCCAGTGATGTGATTTATGAATCCTTTGTCTTTCAGGGCCCCACGGGGCTCCCCGGAGATCTGGGGCCCCCAGGAGATCCTGGAGTTCCGGTGAGGGTGGTCCCTCCCCCACCACCCAGTGTGCCCCCTAATCCTGTCCCCACCCCACCCCACCCACGCCCTGTCTCCCTCCCCAGGCCTGAGCAAGGTGTGGAGCAGAGAGCCCTCACTTTCCCCAATTCTCACGGGGTATACCTTCCCCCCCTAATGCTATCTCTTCCTTCTCAAAATCCTGTTAGGGTGCTGATGGCCCCCCTGGGGAGAAGGGAGACGTTGGAGATGTCGGGGGACCGGTGAGTAGGGGAGTGGGGAGTGGGGTTGATGGTGGATACATGAGGACCCAGAAGGATGGGCTGGCAGTACCCTGCATTTCCCTCCTCAGGGGGGGAACCCCTGAAAGTGTGTAGCTTCCAGGGGGGAGGCAAGCAGGGTGATGGTGCCAGGGTGGTATCTGGGGTCCCATGGCTTTGGTGCAGTCCCCCTCAGCCCTCTGCCCTTTCTTCCCAGGGGCCACCAGGAGCTTCTGGGGAACCTGGTGCTCGGGGTTCCCCGGGCAAAAGGGTGAGTGGTACCCACAATCCTGGTGGGGGGGGTTCCCTGTCCCCAGAGATGTGCCCTTCAGCCCACAGCCTCACACTCAGCCCCTTCTCCCTCCTCAGGGGCCTCCCGGCCGCATGGGTCCAGAAGGAAGAGAAGGGGAGAGAGGTGCCAAGGTGAGACCCCCCCCCATACCCTGGGGAGGTCCTTGCGCTGGGGCAGCATCATGACTTTGTTTTGAGTCAGTCGTGGGGCTTGAACTCTGGGTCTGGGCGCTGTCCCTGAGCTCTTTTGCTCAAGGCTAACACTCTCCTACTTTGAGCCACAGCACCACTTCTGGTTTTCTGGTGGTTCATTCGAGATAAGCATCTCCTTGACTCTCCTGTCTGGGCTGGCCCTGAACAGCGATCCTCAGCTCTCAGCCTCCTGTGTAGCTAGGATGACAGGCGTGAGTCACCGGTCACCATTGGTTCCCGGTGACTCTCTTTCCCCTCCTTTGTCTCTGTTCATTTCAGGGAGACCCTGGGTCTGACGGACCCCCAGGACGGACAGGCCCAGTGGGGGCTCGTGGGCCGCCTGGACGTGTTGGGCCTGAGGGTCTTCCAGGAATTCCTGGCCCTGTGGTGAGTGGGGGGGGGTGTTGGGAATGTGGGGAGGGAGGGAGGTCACAGCTGGGTAGAGCTGACTCAGTGGTGCTAGCTGGGAAGAGCCTACCCTGGTTTTGTTTGGTCCTAGGGTGAACCAGGCCTCCTGGGATCCCCGGGGCTGATGGGCCCTCCAGGTCCTCTGGTAAGAGACTTCTTTGTTCGTGAGGGTCTCACTTTCTGCCTGGGCTCCTGCCTGGACAGCGATCCACCTACTTTTATGTTTCCTGTCATTGCTTAGATGACAGGCGTGTCCCACCTGGCCCAGATTCCTTCGGTGGTGATGGACTCTTGGCAGACTTTTCTATCTAGCTTGGCCTGAAATCATGATCCTCCCAATCTCAGCCTCCATATAGCTAGAATTATAGGCATGAGCCACCGTGTCCAGTGTCTACACTGACCGCCCACAGCCACTCTCCATCTTTGCATTGCTTTTCTGTTGTGCTTGGGGATGGAACTGAGACCTAGTGTGTGCTAGACAGCTGAGCTATATTCCTAACTATGGGGCCACGCCCCCTGCCACAGAGCCACGCCCTGCGGCAGAACCACGCCCTGCGGCAGAACCACACCCATACTGCCAAGCCACGCCCCTTTAACAAGCCACGCCCACTGTGAAGCCACACCCATGGCCTGTTTTTTGTTTTGAGTCAGGGTCTTGGCTGGCCTTGAGCTCCAGATCATTCTGCCTCAGCTTCCCTAGCACTGAGATTACAGGTGTGAACTACTCTACCCAGCATCTTAATGTTCTATCCCTCTTAATGGTCTACAACTGACTACACACACTGAACTTGGCCACTGACTATACTCATTGGCCATCTTCCAACCAACCCTCATCATTCCTCCTCGTCCCTCCCATCTCTTGACTGTCCCCTGGTTTTTCCCACCTGAAATGAGGGTAGCTTCACACTGAGAACCCCAAACTGACTCTTGCCTGTTCACAGGGACCTCCTGGCCTCCCAGGGCTGAAGGGAGACTTGGGCCCCAAAGGGGAAAAGGTAAGACCTCCACCTCTCTCTTACCTGGCCAGGGAGCTGAGAGAGTGAGGTGCCCTCTGCTCTCAAACTCCTTACTCCCAAGCGTCAAAGAGAAAAATATGTCTGCATTAGCCGGGCACCGGTGGCTCACCCTGTCATCCTAGCTACTCAGGAGGCTGAGATCTGAGAATCTCGGTTCAAAGCCAGCCCGGGCAGGAAAGTCCAGGAGACTCTTATCTCCAATGAACCACCAGAAAACCGGAAGTGGTGCTGTGGCTCAAGTGGTAGAGTGTTAGCTTTCAGCTGAAGAGCTGAGGGACAGCACCCAGGCCCAGAGTTCAAGCCCTACCACTGACCAAATAGATCTAAGTTCTTCACATTCCCTACCCTCCCTTCCATGCCTCTTTTCCCTCTAGGGCCATATTGGATTGATTGGCTTAATTGGTCCTCCTGGGGAGGCTGGTGAGAAGGGGGACCGTGGATTGCCTGGCGTGCAGGGCCCTCCAGGCCCCCAGGGAGACCCCGTGAGTGGGGAGGAGGGGCGGGGACTATGGGTATGCGCCACCTGGGAAAGCTGGGTCTGGAATGATGGGAGTTGTGTGTGTGAGGTGAAATAAATAACACCTGTCCCGGGCTGGGAAGGTGGCTCAGTGGTAGAGCGCTTGCCTTGCATGCATGAGGCACTGGGTTCAATTCTTCAGCACCACATAAGCAAAAAGAAAAAGCCAGAAGTGGCGCTGTGGCTCAAGTGGTAGAGCGCTAGCCATGAGCTGAAGAGCTGAGGGACAGCGCCCAGGCCCAGAGTTCAGGCCCCATGACCAGACCCAAAAAAATAACACCTGTCCCAGAACTTAAAAGTTGGCATTTGGAAGCCAAGGTGCAGGTGCCTCATGCCCGTAATCCAAGCTACTCAAGAGACAGATCTGAAGATCATGGTTTAAAGCCAGTCCAGGTGGGAAAAGTCCATGAGACTCTTATTTCCAATTAAACAACAAAAAGTTAGAAGTGGAGCTGTGGCTCAAGTGGTAGAGGGCTAGCCTTGAGCCAAATAAAAGCCCGGGAATGGTGGTCAGGCCCTGAGTTCAAGCCCCAGTTCTGAAGTGCACACACACACACACACACACACACACACACACATACACAAGGTGGAGTTTAGGGAGGTGTCTATAGGGGAACTGGAAGCTTGTTTAAGGTTTGGGGTCTGCTTTTGAGGGAACTGAAGATGTGCGAGGAGGAATGTAGCTGGGGAATGGGGTGCATCCTCCTAATAGTGACCCTGATGTCTCTTCTCCAGGGTTCTCCCGGACCTATTGGCTCTTTGGGCCATCCTGGGGCCCCAGGTGTGGCAGTAAGTATGGAGATTTGTGGGGTGGGATCATGGTGGTGAACCAGGACAAGACCCCAGCATTCTCTGTCTCTACCCTACAGGGCCCTCTGGGACAGAAAGGCTCCAAGGGTTCCCCGGTGAGTAGCTGTGCCCTTGGCTTTGCCATTTCCCGCCCCCCTTCCCCCCATTTCACCAGATTCACCTTTGCCCTCTGCATTCCCTCAATTACTCATTCAAGCCTCCATGCATTTACCAGCATTTATTCGCTGGAGGTGTGGCCAGGGGAGGGCGTGGCGTAGGCGTGGGTGTGGCTTGCCGTTTAGGGGCGTGGCCCAACTTCTTGGTCTCCTGCTGTGGGCCCACCAGGGTAGAGTACCTGCCTAGCAATGGCGAGGCCCGTGAGTTCAAACCCAATTCTGCCAAAACAAAATTAACGCCGAAGAAAAAGAAATGGCACCGTCTCAAACTGGCTTTCCCACAGACAAATATTTATTCAACGCGTGACATGGTATTTTATTGAATCTAAGCTGTCATAAATTGTCTGATGGATGTACCATTATTTTATAAACTAAGAAAGAAAACAGCTCTGCCAAGTGACTAATAACTTGCCAAACACAGGAAGATGGTGATTTGGGACATCTGACATGTTGGCAAGAAATTGCACATCGTGTGTGTGTGTGTGTGTGTGTGTGTGTGCCTGTAATGGGACTTGGACTCAGACCTTGGACTTGGGCACTGGTCCTTAGCTTTGTGTGTGTGTGTGTGTGTGTGTGTGTGTGTGTGTGTGTGTGTGTGTGTGTGTTTTCCTGTCGGTTGTGGGGCTTGAACTCTGGGCCTGGCTGCTGTCCCTCAGCTCTTCAGCTCAAGGCTAGCGCTCTACCACTTGAGCCACAGCGCCACTTCCGGCTTTTTCTGCTTATGTGGTACTGAGGAATTGAACCCAGGGCCTCATGCATGCGAGGCAAGCACTCTACCACTGGGCTACCTTCCCTGGTCCTTAGCTTTTTTTGCTCAAGGATCTTCTGGCATTTTGGTACTTAATTGGAGATCAGAGTCTCCTGGGCTTTTCTACCCTGGCTGGCCCTGAATCATGATTCACAGATCTCAGCCTCCTGAGTATCTGGGATTACAGGCGTGAGACACCAGCACCTCCTTGAAAATAAGCATCTTGTGCCCAGTACTGAACCTCTTGAGTCCTTCCTGGAGGTGTGTGTGTGTGTGTGTGTGTGTGTGTGTGTGTGCTGGCAGGGAAATGCTCTTCACAAACAAGAGTTCATCACAATGTGATTTGTTTTTTTCTCCCTTCAGGGTTCCTCTGGTCCCCGCGGAGACACTGGGCCTGCAGGTCCTCCTGGACCTCCAGTAAGTTTCTAAAGCAGAGATTTGGGATGTCTTCATTCGGTACCCTACAGCTCAGCCAGATGTACAGGGGTTCAGTTGGGGAGGAAAGCTCCCAGGAGGGTCTGGGGGGTGACAAGGGGTGTGTGTGGCAACTTGGGGGTGATATTTACAGAGGCTTTGACCTACCTGGGTCTTCACACCTTTTCTTGTCTTCTCCACGCGTCTGTCTCCCCCTCCTCTGCCTTGCTCCCTCTCCGTCTCCCCTCATCCCTGCCTTGGTGCAGGGTCCCCCTGCGGAGCCGCTCAGGCGTCTTCGCCGTGCCGCCCTGGGCTTCCCCGAGAGCGGCCTGGAGGAGGTGCTGGCTTCGCTCAACTCGCTGAGCCTGGAGGTGGCGCAGCTGCAGCGCCCGCCGGGCACGGCCGAGCGCCCAGGCCTGATGTGCCACGAGCTCCACCGCCAGCACCCGCACCTGCCCGACGGTGAGCGTCCGGGGCGGCCGAGGGGGCGGCAGGGGCGTCTGGGCTCACCCTCGGGGCTCACTCCGGGGCTCTGCCGCAGGGGAGTACTGGATTGACCCCAATCAGGGCTGCGCGCGGGACGCGTTCCGCGTTTTCTGCAACTTCACGGCGGGAGGGGAGACCTGCCTCTATCCCGACAAGAAGTTCGAGACCGTGAGTGACGGGAACCGTGCCCCGCCCTTCCCTCCCCGCCCGCTGCACACCTGGCCTCGGGTGGAGTCTTACCTCTCCTCCACGAGGGTCGTGGAGCTCTCCAGGAGAGGGCTGGGGCATGCATTCTAGCATGAGGCCCCAGGAAGCAGCTCCAGCCCTGGGGAGGGGAAGGGTGGCCCCAGGACCGCCCAGACCTCAGTCCTGCCGGAACCACCGTGGGTGAAAACGCCGAGCAGGCATCTGAAAGGCCTCCCATTTGGGGGCGGGGCCAGGGAGCTGGCATTCACAAGCTCCACCAGTCATTGGTTGAGGACTGCCTGGGGGCGGGGCCAGGGAGCTGGGGATTCATTCACAAGTTCCACCAGTCATTGGTTGCGGGATGCCTGGGGGTGGGGCCAGGTAGTGGGGGGAGGGAAATTCATTCACAAACTCCACCAGTCATTGGTTGAGCGCTGCCTGGGGGCGGGGCCAGGGGGCTGGGGATTCATTCACAAACTCCACCAGTCATTGGTTGAGCGCTGCCTGGGGGCGTGGCAAGGTTGTTGGGTATTCCTCCACCAGCTCCGCCAATCATTGGTTGAGGGCGGCTTGGGGGCGGGCCTCGTGCACCTGCTGAGCACACTCCCAGGACCAGAGCAGGGACATCTGGGCAGTCACGCATCTTCCCATTCTTCCCCCAGGTGAAACTGGCCTCCTGGTCCAAGGAGAAGCCTGGAAACTGGTATAGCACCTTCCGGCGAGGGAAGAAGGTGGGTTACAAGAGAGAGGCTGACGTGGGGGTGGCTTGGCCATGGGTGGGGACTAGTGATAGGATTGGGGGGAGGAGAGAGAGGGGACAGACCCTCCTCTGCCGCAGGCTGGAGGCGGGGAGGGGGCAGCATAGAGGTGTGCCTGCTGCAGGTGTCTGTTCGGCCCACACTGCAATCAGGCTGGCATGGGAAGGGCAGAGGTGGCAGAAATCCACAAGGAGAGCTAGAAGCAGCTAAAGGCTTCCTACTGGAGGTCCCGGCTCCTCTGGAGTCAAAGTTGGGTGAGCAAGGTAGGGGGGCAAGGAAACATGCTCCAGACAGAAACAACAGCCTAAGCAAAGGCTCACAGTCAAGAAGGGCTGGCAAGTGTGTGTGTGTGTGTGTGTGTGTGTGTGTGTGTGTCCTGGAGTTTGAACTCAAGGGCACTGTCCCTGAGTTTTTTTGCTCAAGGCTAGTGCTCTACCATTTGAGCCACAGGGCTACTTTTTTGATGGTTCATCGAAGCTAAGAGTCTTGTGGACTTTCTTGCCTGGGCTGGCTTTGAACTATAATCCTCAGGGTTGCATAGTGAGACCCTGTCTCCAAAGGAGAAGAGGAAAAGAAAATCAGAAAGAAACAACAACAAAAATGTGTTACTCAGCCAGATAGCTCAAAAAAAAATACACATATATATTTTTTGGTCGGTCGTGGTTCTTGAACTCTGGGCCTGGGCACTGTCCCTCAGTTCTTCACCTTAAGATTAGTGCTCTACCATGTGAGCCACAGCACCACTTCTGGCTTTTTCTGTTTATGTGGTGCTGAGGAATTGAATCCAGGGCCTCATGCATGCGAGGCAAGCGCTCTACCACTGAGCCACCTTCCCAGCCCTCAAGCCAGTTAGTTATATTTTAAATCTATCTTATTTTAAGCCAGACTATGCAAAATACAGTTATATCTGTATAAAGAATTATGGGGCTAGGAAGGTGGCTCAGCGGTAGAGTGCTTGCCTTGCATGCATGAGGCCCTGGTTTCGATTACTCAGCACCATATAAGCAAAAAGAAAAAAGTCGGAAGTGGTGCTGTGGCTCAAGTGGTAGAGCGCTAGCCTTGAGCTGAAGAGCTGAGGGACAGCGTCCAGGCCCAGAGTTCAGGTCCCACAACTGGACCCCCACTCCCCCAAAAAAGAATTAACCTACCAGCCTGGCACTGGTGACTCACACCTGTAATCCTAGCTCCTCAGGAGGAGTCTGAGATCTGAGATTCATGGTTCCAAGACAGCCTGGGCAGGAAAATCTATGAGATTCTTATCTCCAGTGAACCCCCCCCCAAAAAAAAGCCAAAAGTGGAGCTGTGGCTCAAGGGGTAGAGCGCTAGCCTTGAGCCCAAAACAGCTCAAGGGAACAGTGCGCAGGCCCTGAGTTCAAGCCCCAGATCAGCACACATGCACACACCAAAAATCCTATCTATGTTGGACCAAATGGCCAAGACTCAGGCGGTCCAGTTGCGTCAGGATGAGCAGAGTGGTGGTGGTGAGGGGCAGGTGGGTCTCTAGTCTGTGGTGCAACATGGCAAGGGTGACAGATGTGCCACCAGGCAGATGCCAGGCGCTGGCTTGCTCACAAAACAGGGGACCCATGGCACACACACCCCCTTCCCTCCCTGATGTCCCCCCATAGTTCTCATATGTGGACGCCGATGGAGCCCCGGTAAACGTGGTACAGCTGACTTTCCTGAAACTCCTGAGTGCCACGGCTCACCAGCGCTTTACCTACATGTGCCAGAACTCGGTCGCCTGGCTGGATGAGGCGACGGGTGACCACCACCGCTCCCTCCGCTTCTTGGGGACCAATGGGGACCAGCTGTCCTTCAATCAGACAGCGGCGGCTACCATCAGGATCCCCCACGATGGCTGCCGAGTAAGGCGGTGGGGGGAGGGTGGGGGAGGGCTCCCCTCCCCCCTCGGCCTTGAACTCACGTCCTGTGTGTCTTTCTGACCATCAGCTCCGGAAGGGGCAGGCCAGGACCGTGTTGGAGCTCAGCTCTTCTCGAGTGGGTTTCCTGCCTCTGTGGGATGTGGCCGCCACGGACCTTGGTCAGACCAACCAGAAATTCGGCTTTGAACTTGGGCCCGTGTGCTTCAGCAGCTGAAGGTCTTGGGGCCGGGGGTAGAAAGAAGTAACGCGACGGATTCCGTGCTGTGGCTCTGAAGGCGCCATATTTATTAGCTTCTGGGACTCTGGGTCTTGAAGATGGGTTTCTGTGGGTGTCTTCTCCCTGCCAGCCTGAAGGAGGGAGTTCTCTGGGTTCCCCAAGGTGGGGGGGGGGTGCTTCACTGTGCTCTGCCTCTTTCTCTGTAACCTTATCCACCCCTTCCCTAGCGCCCCCCCAAAAAAAACGAGCTTCAAACTCAGAGCTGATGAACTCCTCCTCCCCACTCCCCCCCCATGCCTGTGCCCACCCTCCCAGGCTGCCAACCCTTTGGTGCTACCTTTTGCCATAGTTAAGCACTGGATGTTCCTACCCCCCCCCACCCCCCTCCCGCTCCCAGAGACCCTCCCCTTCACGCCCCCCCCCACGAGCTGTGTGGCACTTTCCCCCTCCCCCCCAGGCCTCTCTGGCTGCCACCAGGTAGTGTGGGGACCAAGATGGCGGCCATAGATCAGGATCCTTCAAAGGTGCTGCCCTATTTATCCCTGGGACTTGTTGTTGTTGTTGTTGTTGTGTGTGTGTGTGTGGTAACAACCTCTCCTGTGGTTATATTTAATCTGCTTCTTCCCTAGAGAAGGCTGAGGGGGAGGGGAGGGACATGGGGTCGGGGATGGGGGGTGGGGAGGAGATGGCAGGAGAAATTTCCAGCATGGCCCCCTCCCCCTCTCCTCCTCCCCCATCACCCTCCCCTCCCAAGGGAGAATTCCTATCTCCAGTGTGAGAATAAATCAGTGGACTGTGATTCTGTCTTTTGTCTGCTATTATTACACACACACACACACACACACACACACACACACACTCTGGATTATCTCACCTGAAGAGAACACCTATGTGAATGAACGAGGGGAGTTTCTTGGGAATCCAACTATACCAGGACCCTCTGGACGATGGTTAACTCCATGAGGGTCTGGATTCCACAGCATGGCCAAAACAGTCTTCGCCAGTAGATCACGCCTGTCATCCTAGCTCCTCAGGAGGCTGAGATCCCGAGGATCATGTTTCAAAGCCAGCCTGGGCAGGAAAAGTCCCTGAGACACTTATCTCCAATAAACCACCAAAAACCCGGAAGTGGTGCTGTGGCTCAAATGGTAGAGCATGTGCCTTGAGCTGAAGAGCTGAGGAACAGCACCCAGGCCCAGAGTTCAAGACCTACAACCAGAAAGAAAAAAAAAAGTCTCATGGACTTTTACCACCTGGGCTGGCTTTGAACTGAGATCCTCAGATCTCAGTCTCCTGAATAGCTGGGATGACAGGCGTGTGCCCTGGCACCTGGCCCCAGTGTAGGATTTGAATGCAGATCTACCAGTCTTGCGTTTGCCCATTTCAACCCACGCCACTGTGGTCATTCGGGAGGGCAGGGACCGTTAACCTATATCTTAATGAGGAGGGTGCATGAAACCAACACTTGGTAATGAGTGAGAAATGCAACCTTGTAAATTAAAGGCTAATTGAAAGAAGTGTCAGAAGACCATCCTATGTGGCCCAGCTCCACTTCCTGCATCCGTGAAGTCTTACTGCCAGCACACTGGGAAAGCCCCCAGCTGATTTGCATATTCAGCAGCCATAATTAATCACACCCACTTCCTGAGCCATTACTGACACCCAGTATTCTCAGCTGGGGGGGGGGGAGGGGCAGGCATCTAGACAGAGATCACTGCGGCCCTGTACAGAGATGGTTATCACACACACACACACACACACACACACACACACACACACACACAATGTTTGCATATGTGAACTGAGGGCCCACAGAACCTGATTCTAATTGTGTGTGTGTGTGTGTGAGGCTTTTTCGCTCATGGCTGGCACTCTACCACTTGAGCCACAACTCCACTTCTGGCTTTTCTGGTGGTTCATTGGCAATAAGAGTTGTATGGGCAGTTTGTGCCCAACCTGTCTTTGAACTGTGATCCTCAGATCTCAAGCCTCTTGACTAGCTAGGATTGCAGGCGTGAGCCAGCTGTTTTTGGATTTTTATTTTATTTTACTTTTTTTTTTTTCCAGTCCTGGGGCTTGAACTCGGGTCCTGGGCTCTGCCACTGAGCTTTTTTTTTTTTTTTTTTTTTTTTTGGTCGGTCGTGAGTCTTGAACTCTGGGCCTGGGCGCTGTCCCTCAGCTCTTCAGCTCAAGGCGAGCGCTCTACCACTTGAGCTACAGCGCCACTTCCGGTTTTCTGGTGGTTTATTGGAGATAGGAGTCTCAAGGTCTTTCCTGCCCGGGCTGGCTTTGAACCAGGATCCTCAGATCTCAGCCTCCTGAGTAGCTAGGATTACAGGCGTGAGCCACCAGCGCCCGGCTCCACTGAGCTTTTTGTTCCTTAAGGCTAGCGCTCTACCACTTGAGCCACTGTGTATGTGTATGTGGTACTGTGTATGTGGTACTGAGGAATTGAACCCAGAGCTTCATGCATGCTAGGCAAGCACTCTACCACGAAGCCACCTTCCCAGCCCAGGATTTATGTATTGATTTTTAGTTTCTGAAAACCCAGTTTCAAATTTGCAGCCTAGGCTGGCCTTGAATTCTATTCTCTGATCTTAGCTGCCTGAGTGCTGGGATTACAGGCAGGTGCTACCATCCCTGGCTGGGTGTGTGTGGGTGGGTGGGGGGGTCTGTGTTTCACATAGGCACACAAATCCATTTCCTGAGCTCTCAGCTTCCACTTGTGGAACACAAGGGGTGAGTTTGCTGTCATCTATGCGGGGGGGGGGGGGGGTAGAGAGGCAGGGTCAGGGCTGCACAGAGACCTCAAGGGGGAGAATGACAGCCCTACTACTTCCCCACTGTGTGACTCTAAATAAGTAGCTTCACCTCTCTGAGCCTCGCCTTTCCTCTCCTATGAAATGCTTCCCGGGGCTTCTGCGGGAGTTGCAATTGGCACCAGCCTGTTCTGGCTCAGCACTGGGAGCTGTCCTGGTGCTGAGCCAATTTCCGGCTGCCTAACCTCGGTGTGAAGACCCAGCTCCTTCCTGCCTTGGCCCAGCTGCAGGCTTTGCTAGGTCTCCTTGTCCCGCCAGCTCCGGCCTCAATTCCCAGGCCCGCAATGAGAAACACATGTGCTGGAGGCCTGCCCGCCTCCCAGCCCGCTCCCCGCTCCTGCCCTCTCCTCTCCCCCCCCTCCGCCCCCCCCTTCCCCAGGCCTCCTGAGTCACTGCAGCCTCTGCACCCGCTTCTCAGTCCAGTTCCCACGATGCCTGGTGTGTCCCAGTGGGGACCACTCCCCCCCCCCAGGCTCTGAGCATGGGACTCTGCCTGCAAGGGGGGGGGGCGGTGTGATCGTGACAAATTGTGGGTGTGTGGTTGTGTTGTCTACAAAGCATCTCCCTAGCCTGGTGTGTGGACGGATGTGTGAGCTTTCGGCCTGGTTTGTTTATGGACTTATGGTTGGGCCAGTGTTGGGGCTTGAACTCAAGGCCTTGCCAGCCCGGGCAGGAAAGTCCGTGAGACTCTGATCTCCAGTAAACCACCAGAACACCGGAAGTGGCGCTGTGGCTCAAGTGGTAGAGCGCTCGCCTTGAGCTGAGGAGCTGAGGGACAGCGCCCAGGCCCAGAGTTCAAGCCTCATGACCACCACCACCAACAAAAAAAAAAAGAGTCTCATAGAACCGGGCACTGGCAGCTCACGCCTGTCATCCTAGCTACTCAGGAGGCTGAGATCTGAGGATCCTGGTTCAAAACCAGCCTGGGCAGAAAAGTCTGTGAGACTCTGATCTCCAATACACGACTCAGAAAAAGCCAGCAGGGGTGCTGTTGTGTGACTGCGTGCGTGTTGTGCACGTCGTGTACTTTTGTGTCCGAGGATGCTGCTGTGGGCGCTGGGGCCTGTGTGCGGGCGGACAGCTGGATTTGTGAGTGCTTGTTTGGGTGTTTCTCTGGAGAAGTCATCCCTGGGTTGCTACTTCTGCAGGCTTCGGTGCCAGGACATCATCTGGGGTGTCCTTGGCTGACCTCGTGACCCCATTGTGTCTGGGTGTTAGATTGCATGCGCTCCTGGGGTCACCCGAGGCCAGGCTCCCATCCCATAACTGGGTCACCCACACGGGGGAGGGGGGGGAGGACAGACAGGGGACTGTGGTTCCGGGGACAGACAGGGGACTGTGGGCCTTGGGGTGGACAGGACATTGGAGTCAGCCCTGCTGGGTAGCTGCCTGGCATCTAGAGTCAGGCTGGCCAGCTCGGATCTGCAAGCCCCACCTCCACCCTGCACTGCCCATCTGAGAAATGGGGGGGCGTCCCTGCTGCAGGAGGCTTGCCTGGACCCTCACGGTCTGCGCATGTCCACCAGCCCCAGGGCTGGCTCCGGCGAGCAGGATCCTGGGGACAGCCAGGTGTCAGTGGGTACACTGCATACACACAGGGCGAACTGGATTTCAGGTCAGTGCTGAGTGACCCTGGGCAGGATACTGAGCCTCTCTGTGCCTTAAGATTTTTATTCTATTTTGTTATTCTATTGTGTATGTGTGTGTGAGAGAGAGAGACAGAGAGAGAGAGACAGACAGACAGAGAAAGGGTCTCATTAAGGAACTCAGGCTGAATGTGACCTTTCTCATGTCCCTATGTGCAACTGTGCAGAGACTACAGTCATATGCTACTACACCCCCTACTCTTTCTTTTCTTTGTCAGTCATGGGCTTGAACTCTGGGCCTGGGCGCTGTCCCTCAGCTCTTCAGCTCAAGACGAGCGCTCTACCACTTGAGCCACAGCGCCACTTCTGGTTTTCTAGTGGTTTATTGGAGAGAAGAGTCTCACAGATTTTCCTGCCCAGGCTGGCTTTGAACCAAGATCCTCTCAGCCTCCTGAGTAGCTAGGATTACTTCTTTAAAATTATTATTTAGTGCTGGGGATAGAATGTTGGGGCTTAAGTATGTGAAGCAAACGATCTACCAATTCGGCCAGCCACTCAGCCCTTTTATATGTATTTTGTTTTTGAGATAAGGTCTTCTAATTAGCTCACACGGGCCTTGAACTCATGATCCTATTCCTCTACCTCTCGAGTGCTGGCATTACAGGGGTGCACCACCACACTGGGCTCTGTGAAACAGCAAATGCTGATTGAGAGGATTTAGCCCAGTGTGGAGTGTGGCCTGGGAGCTCAGCGAGGGGTTTGCTATTATAGCCTGTTCCCAGGGTGGTTGGGAGGGGAGTGCTGAGTACTTAGTCATAGCTGAGCCTGGGGTATTAAGGCTGAGTGAATAAGGTTCTCACCAGGCAGAGGAGGGAAGGGAAGGGAAGGAACATTCCAGCCACATCTCAATCAAGAGTTTGGCTGTGGGAGCCCAGAATCAATACCAGATGCTTCCATGCCCCA